AAAATCACCAATGCTTCAATCTGATGAGTCGTACAATTTTGTTCTCTCTGTGGAGCCGCGGGTACATCACACATTTTGCGGTGTTTGCTCAAATGGGGTGCGCTCTCGTGTCGCGCGCTCAACTGGTTCTGCGCTCTCGTGTCACGCGCTCAACTGGTCATGCGCTCTCGTATCGTGTGCTCTAGTGTCAAGCGCGCTACTGTCGCAGCGCCCTCGTGTTGCGCGCTCTAACGTCGGCGCTCTAGTGTCGTGCGCTCTAAAGGCGCTCTCCCTGAGGGGCTAATCACGTTGCAGATTTGTTGTCCCGGGCTACACTTTTCGAGCAGGAAATGCATGTGGATCCTGACTTGATGGTACTGGGCAATGCGGCGCTAATCACACAAGATTCCCGCTTGGGAACCCTCATGAGAAGGGGGGAGCTCTGGGTGGGCCAGCTGTCTGATGGACTACGCCCGTAGGTGGTACATTGCCTAGCAGAAGAAAGCTCATCCGGCACCGGGAGTCCCTGAGACTTGGACTGATATTTCCTGAGCAGCGACAAAGGCGTGCTGCGGTACATCCACCAGGCGGGTGATGGGTCCTGCGGCCCGCTAAACCGAACTGTGATACTTCGCAAACCGTGTCACTCATTCATAAGACATGCATGATTCCGCCAAGGTAGGCCGCAGCAGTTGAAGCAAAACTTAAGAAAAGTTGTCCCATATTGCAACGTAGAAAAGCTTGAGGCAGGATGTAATTAGGTACGCACGTACTGCACGGTATGGCAGAAGGCGAAAGCAGGAGATGGCCAAACAATAGGTTTAATGAAGTCGGTCGAAAGCAAAGCGCGTTGCCTGTGACCGTTTTCGGTCCCTTTCCCCGTAGTCCACGCGACGAACAATATTTGCTAGTTGTCACCATGCACTTCACGAGGTGGGTCGAAATGTCTCCTTTGGGAAAGCTGGACTCTAGGAAAATCTGGAACTGTCTAGCTGAGACGTTCGCGCTTTAGCTTTCCGGCATCGCTCATTGCAGAAAATGACACTTATTTTGTTAGCAAGATTTTCATGGATGCAAGCAAGGCACTAGAGATACCGCTTCGACTAACTTTGCCTTACCATCCACAAACAAATATCATAGAAACAGTCAACCGTAACTTCAAGCTGATGCCTGTAGCGTATACAAATCGGCACAAAGACTGGGAAGCAAAACTGGCGAAAATGATATTCCCTACCCGACAACAATCAACCAACTACGGGTTTTACCTCGGCTCAACTTCAACTTTGGAAAGAACTCGCATCTGCCCCGGGAAGTGGCCTTCTTTGCACAGAGGCAGCAAGCATGCAGCACACCACTACGCACTTCGCAGAAAATCTCCGGAAGCGCTTCACGGAGAAAATGCGGGAAGCTGGAGAGAGCCTCGACATCTCGAGACTGCGGCACGCAACCAGTACCGCGAGGGGAGGAACCTGCAGCTCGACGTAGATCCGGTGCTGAGTGAACTCACCCGTTGAGTGATGCGGCTAGAGGCTTCACGGCCTCTTTAGCAAGGAGATGCGAGGTCCTGCACCATGTTAGCAAGAAGCTCTCCAACCTGTCTTATGAGCTGATGCATGGCGAATATGGTAACGTGTGTCAGTCCATTATGTCACCAACATAAAACCTTTTTATAAACGCGACGAGGTAGAGGTATCGCAGGTTCCACATGGCAACAACCTTGACCACCTCTCGGAAAATTCCACACCGTCTCTGCCGAGACACAACCTGCGACTGCGGTGAAGACTACGAAAGAGCATCAATCCTAAGTGCACTATTTTCATGCCCATTTCGGTATTTTTAGGACGGTTGAAGAGAAAGTAGCCCTGCTCCTGTATTCCTGTTGGGCAGGCGTCGTCCTCGGGCGCAACCACTTATTCTTGCCGCGGCATGGCCTCAGTTTACTTTTAATTTCTAGAGCATCGGGTCAGAGACGTCGCGGCGGAGACGCAGCTCCCATCATCAGAACCACCACAGCCGCGCCGGTACCGTCTGGAGGTACTCTGACAGGATTTCGGCCCATCTGCGGAGACCCTCTTTGGCCCAGAAGGAAGGCCACCCTAAGATTTCCTAAGACATTTCCTGTTGTGTTTAAAAGGGGGGAGATGTGTGGGCAACCTGGGGATCCAAAGTGTTGGACAAGTTGGCCCGCATGCCAAATCGTTCAAAGTTGTTTCTACCGCGAGGTGTCCAAGTGCATATTTAGGTATTTAGCGCACAAGGTAGAGAGAACAGAAAAGATAATAGGGCCACTCAAAGTTATGTTTACTGACAGAAAAATAAAGAGAAAGAAAAAGAGAGAATGACCTACTGCGGAAACGTGCATCTATCACTATCCCGGTGAATGATAGTGGCTCGTTCATCTAGGCTCGTGTGGGCCTTTTATTGTCTGCTAAAGAAATTATCGTTCCTTGTTTGACAGCGTCACGGATTCTACACTAATGCAGTTCATATTCCCAAAAAGATGTGGAAGGCCTCCAGTAACTCGCGGGTCAATTTTTCGTCTTTCCTGCCCAAGATGCTTTTCTCGCCGTATAACTGTCTGCATGTGCACTCCCTAGAATGGATTGGAAAATGTCCACCAACTATAGCCCTCAAAGAGTAATCATGTTCACAGAGTCGACCTTTGAGGCATCTGCCCATTTGTCTTATATAGCTCTTGCCACAACAAAGCGGTATCTTATATACGACGCCCGAATCACAGGGAACAAATTACTTTGCATGCTTCTTGGCACCCTGTGCTGTAAGGTACCCACAGCGTGCGCATTCATTTCAGGGCAACTTTCACTCTTTCTTGCAGTGGTGAAAAACCTACTCTGACTTTATAGCTGCTTGCAACGTTTTTTGTTACATTGTGGGACATCCTATGCAGGTACGGTATTACCACTGAATCCTGACCTTGCTTTATTTACACTGGTCTGATTCGTCTGGAAGCATTTCGTTTTTTTCACCAGAGCATTTGCCACATCAGCCAATAGGGCTGACGAATAGACAGCTTTTGTTTGCCTCTCGGCTTGCCAACTGAATCTGGCTGCCATATAATGAATGCAGGACATTTGTAATACAGAGCCGTTAGAACTATGCCTGTCCTGATGTATTGTGAGTGGGCCAGACCATAGTCTAGGATATCTTCCTTGGATCGTTGGCAGTACCACCAACAAGCTCGGGTGACACCCAGTTAGAGGGAAAGGTCCAAGAACTGAAATTTCCTTTTTTTGGGTACCTCAAAGGTGGACCAAATGCCCCCTTCGTTCTGAGCAAATGTCGCCATAATACCTGCCACTTGTATGTCCCTACGTTCGCCATCTTCAAGAAATACCGGAAAGTCATCAACATAGCGGACGTCCATGTTCACTTTTTTGCTTTCAAACGCACTTTCTAGGGCACAGTTCACTGCTTCTCATGTGGATGTCACTATGGACTGGTGCGATGCAGGAACCGATACATACTCATGACTTGTGCAGATAGCAGCAATTCCGCCACCTAACTATCATAGACATCACGTAGGAATGTAACAGCTCCATAAAGCTTTGGATAGGTACCCCGCTGGAACTTCGGAATGCGAGCTCTCCATTGGATTCTTACAAATTATCACCGACGTCAGTATCCGGTCATGTGGCAAGGAATAAAATAGTTTCTCCACATCAATACTGATTGCAGTTCAGAATTCATACCACTTTTGAGTGGAAAGAGCTACATAGAACAAACGAGAAGATGCCTCATTGATTGACTCCGTGATCATGATTACTCCTTGAAGGCTACAATGGGGGGGGGGGGGGGGGACATCTTCCAATTCATTCTATGGAGTGCACACGCACACCATCATTCGGCGAGACAAGCATTGCGGGGAGGAACATGGACAAATTGACCCGCGAGGTGCTGGTGGCCTTCCACGTTTTCTGTGACGACAGGAACTGTATAAGTGTTGAATCCGTGACGCTGTCCACGAGGAAAAAGAATTCCTTCAACAGACAATGAAGGGCCCACACGAGCCTGGATGAACGAACCACTATCATTCACGGTGCTGGTTGGTTGTGCAGGTGTCCGCAGTGGATCAATCTCTCGTCTTCTTTTTCTTTCTTTTCCTGTCAGTAAACATGGTGTTGTGAGTAACGCTATTTTCTGCCATCTTCTTTTTCTCTGTACTTTGTGCGCTAAATAGCTCATTATGTTAAGGCTGCCAAATAGCCCAAGTGACGACTTTACTACGGTCCAAGTGCATTTGGCCCCGCGAGTGGCGGTCCGCTGCTGACGAAGGGCCGTCGCAGCGTATCTCTTGGGATCGAGGCGCTGGAGATAGCGGTCAATAAATGTCTGCGTGTTGTTAAACCAGTGAGTTGTGTCATTCTCTGAGACGGATAGTGGCAAGGGAATTTCTACAAACTGACTTGGAAATTCCGTCAAATTAAATGAAGATGCAATATCGCTTGATTGGGTTGATGGGATGGGAAATATTCATGTTGCTTACTCCGTAAGAGGGCACTGTAAAAGAGGAGGAATGAAGAGGAGATCGGAAGTGTCGGCGTTGTCACGTGACGTGAAGTTTGTAGCTCATGTAAAATAATGTCACTTGTCCTCGGTTTTCCCACTAAATTTACCGGGGAAACGAAAGTGTCTGTAAGTCGCGGCGTCAATTGTATCTTTTATAGATTTAGCATAATATACATGAGCGTCTATTTATATGGCATTAGAGGCTTCCACTAAAAAATAACTCATGTTGCAAAACAAGTTAATATTCCTAGCGGGGTCAGATGGGCAATCAGAGCCTTTGGTTTTAACGTGTAAGTTTTACTCGAAGCGTCATTATTGCGTGGTTTGTGCCACGCGTTGTTTTTCAAGAAGTTGAATATTCAGGCACATCTCCACCACATAAGGAAAATTGCCACACAAACATGTTTTTCTTTAGAGGCCGGTCTATTCATCAATATGTTCACTTCATTGTTTTATAGCGTTGTACGCAAAGAGTCAATGTTGATTTTACTAACCTTTAACATCGGTAGAAACATCTGCACCATTTCTGTTTGCGAGCTCCAACCTGTTGGAAATTGAATTGAATTAAGGGGTGAGTTTTTTGAACTATTTTATATAAACATCCCTGTTGTGCAAAGGCAATAGTCATTATTCAAGAATACAGTTAAATCAAATATTACTGTATAATCTACTCAGTGCGATGTATTTCCACAGTGGCTGTATGGCGCAATTTCGACCAATATTTTTATTATGGTTTATTAAGCTTTGTTAGCAACATTTTTTTTATTCTTGGTGTACAGGAACGCCATTCTCTCTTACATTCATAACAAAAAACAATTCGTATTTTTACGTTATTTATTTTCATCATAAAAAAAGTATTTCCTGATACAGAAACAAATTGTCACCCGGATTATTCAAAAATTAGTCAAAATGTGAGCTGAGTAGAACAGAAAAGGAGCGGACTAACTAGGTAGGTAAGATCTTATTGGTAAATAAGCAATTGAATGGATTCAAGGTTTATAAATAAGGAGAGTAAAAAGTTGAGTTTCTTGTTTACGGTGAACGCAGATAAAACCAAAACAAAAAAACAAATGAGCCACCAAGACAGTTTCCACAAAAAGAATCAATGAAAAACAAGTGCGATGTCACTGAATAAGAATGACCCCAAGTTCATGGGAAGGAAACATTGGTCTACAGTTTCTGCTTTGTCTAAACCCGTTAGAGGGCGCCACTAAACTCTCCCCTGGGCTGCCTGTTTCCTGGTGAAGCGCGACGTTTGTCGATTTTCTTTTTCTTATCGCTGCCAGGACGTTTTGGAAGCGTTCGTGTTACATCCATATTTTCTAAGGGTTCATGAATCGCATTCATTAAACTTGTTTTTTAACTTAGGCTCTGATAAGCGGCGATGTTTGTGCGACACCAAATATTGACACCAAAAAACACCAAACATATAAAAAATATCCTCTCCTCCCCAAGCCGAAAAAACACCCCGAATTTTGGAGACAATTGAAGACCCTACTAATAGGAAATCGTTGTAAATTCGAGCACGTGTGGCTCTAAGGAGGTTTATTTACACGACGAGATCCAGTATGGTAATGTGCATTAGCATAAATCTGGAGCATTAGTAAAAATTCTTCCAGGTGCCACTCCTGCCGAGACAAGCCGTTAGACAGAAGGTTGAAACAGGTTCTTTCGATTTCACGCGACCCGGGTGTCGCTGCACTCACTCCCGTGGGTAACTATTGAAATTGCTCGGCGTGTTAGGCTAATGGTTAGTTTTTATGCGGAATGACGAAGATACTTCGCCATTTATTTTTTCCTAGCGTCGCTTTTAGTCAGTACAATTTAGATTCCGCGACAGCAGGTATAACAAAAACAAGCGAAAATCAAAGAAACATCATATTACCATGATACCTCGTGAGGAGGTCAGTTCCAACCTTGGTCTTAGTTGACAAAAGGTCCCACTCCCGCCCCCCCCCCTTTTTTTTTTTGGCAGTATACAACTCTTATTGGTGATTTTTTTTTTTTAAATAGTTTATATTCAGGTCTCCTGTGCGCACTTTACGTGACCCCACACATTATGAGTTGCAATATTGAATTTGGCCTTGGTGTTGGTGGTGCGATCTTACCAGCCTTAGCATTTTTATTGATAAGAGATTTGTAACGATAAGGACTTGTAAAGTAAAGTTTGTCATCAATTTTCTGACCGGACAACACCTTCATTCAAAATCTTACAGGTACAGTACTGATTCAATACAGGCTTTTCATACTCATATTTATAGCAATCGAACTTCGCGCACGGCTGATTCTATCGTTAAGTCCGTCGAAAATTTGTTTTACAAATCACCCTAATAAATATAGGGGGGCAGCTGGGCACCATACAAATTGAAAGGGCAAATGGATGTTTTTTTACTCTCAAATATATCTTAACGTTTAAAAACGCAATTTCATAGGTTTACGAGGAAGTGCTGCTTCTTTATTTTATTTCCCTTTTCAAATTATAAGAATTGTTACAAAGTTTGCCAACCAGCTAATAGCACACAGATTAGAATGTATCAAGCGTGTATAGTTAGCCAGAAGCAAGCGCAATAAATGATTAATAAGCAAACCACTTATCATGGGTTCTGACTGGCTGTGTGCTCCATCAATGCTATAAGTTATATGTCACGCGCCGTCAAAAAAAAAAAATATCCTGGTCACTAGTGTACTTTTATTTGACCATTATATCTATGGGGGCTCAAAGAATTGCTTGTAAGTTTGTTCTTCCGAGTACAGCTTTAGTATGAACATGTAAAAAAATGCCAGTAGTTCAATCTAAGCTAATAAAACGTTACAATCCATCGACCTGTTACGTTTTCCGAGTATTCAAAATGCAATTTATATTAACTAGTCAAATATTTAATATATTCGTTGCCATTAGTTTCTTGCTTGCGTATCTCTAAATTAACATTTTGTGTTAAACTAAATAAAGGTCTAAACATGTTCGAATCTTTTTAAAATGCTTGAACTTGTTTTATGCTTTTATGACATTATAAATATTACTAGTTGCGATGTGATCATTAATAGCAAAGCTAGCGGCCGGAACTACTCAGACCAAGAAATAAGCCAACTCGCATGTATTAAACTTTTACGCATTATTTATTTTGCTCCGAGCTACTTTTCACCTACATTCAAATTATCCACATAATCTCTTTCTTGCATTCATAATAGTATATTTATCTAATTTTTTTTAATAGAAACCATGTGAGACTACATTTCGCTGCAGCCAACTCATGTTCTATAAGAATAATATTTATTTAGTATATATTTTGTACAATATAATTATGCAAGTAATTTAAATCACGTAGAATATAGTTCATATATCATATTATGTTTAATACATTCCGCACGGCGCACAACAAACGAAGACAAAGTAGAACGGATAACACAGGGGCAAGCAGTTACTCTCAACTAGAGTTTTTATTGCAAATAAACGCCGAAGTAAAAAACAGCATTCCACACCATCATGGCCAACTCAGCATGTGTCCATATAACGGATCTCTTTACTGTGTAGAAGGACCGATGATCGGCTTACACATCGCCCAGTTCCTTCTTTTTTGGTCATGTAAGCCCCTAAAAGTTTCCTAGTCATCTGATATCTCCCCCTTCCAGCAATCGTGACGTGATGAAAGTTGGACTGGCATCCACAATCTGCACCATCAAACAGCTTCATTTGCCGCTTCGTTCTACAGTTTGTGGATGCCAGCCCAACTTCAATCACGTCAGGATCGCTGGGATGGGGGGGGGGGGGGGATAAAATGACTAGAGAAATTTTAGAAGTCTAGACGATGAAATAATAATAAATAATAAATGTTTATTTCTCCATCACATTCACGATGTGATGGGACTGGGCAATGTGTAAGACAATCATCGGTCCTACATAACAAAAAGATCTCTCATCTAGATGTGTGCTTAATTGGTCACGATGGTGTGGAATGCTGTTGTTGACTTCGGTGTTTATTTTTAATAAAATTTTGAGCTGAAAGTAAGCGCTTATTCCGTGTACCCCCTCCTACTGCGTTTCTTGTGGACAGCGTCGAATCTACTAAGCATAAAGCAACTATTCCACATCGCCACCCTAATTCATGTTATATGTTCGTGTAGGTTTCTTTAACATATTCATTTATTTTACTAGTGTTCTTACCCTGTGACGAGCATAACTGCGTCGCACGTGGCGTTCCAGTATTTCTTAGCAAACTGGGTTAATGTTTTGTGAGGTGAGGTATAGAACTTGAATGGATTATTGGGGATGCTTGGGTCTGAAACTAAAATATGTCGCAGGAAATCTGACTCCTAGAAATAATAGAAGGGGCAATTACATGTCACTCACACCACTTTGAAATGTAAGAAATATGGCCATCAAATGAAACCCACCAGGTCCTTAGTTATGTTTACGATGAGCAGTTGTACTTTTGGGTTGCTTGCGTTTGAATATCTGATGTTCACCTTAAACAAAAGGACAGGTTTAATTCTATAATTTTATTTAAATACTTAACAAAAATATTTTTTAGCATAAATATTTTTGTTAATCCTGAAAGAGCACTCACGAGCGACCACTGGACCCGCATACTTAGTATACACAGTATTTTTCTCGTGGTAAGGCACCGAGGAATCGATAAACGTGTTTGCCCTTTTCGGTTTAACTTTCGCTACCTTCGGTCGGTTAGTAAGTCAAAGTGTTCACATTTATTTCTGCTAGTTAATAACTGAGTCTTCAGAGTACCTTGCTTTTCTTCCAAAGCGATCCATCGTTCATACTCCTGCGGAGGTCAGAGACGTGGCCGGTTTGTTTAGAGCTACACTTTGGCGTTTTAAGCGCCTATAAACGCTTCCAGTACTGGCAGTACAAATGTAATAAATAAAAAAAAACATTGTGCCAGACCGAATTTGTAGTCTATGTCTTTCTAACCCAATTATAATGAATAAAGTTTTAAAAGTTTTCGCTGTCATATGGGCTATGAGGATATCACATTTTTGTACTGACAAGTCATTACCCTTCTTTGCTTTCATTGAAAAATTCCAATCAAGACTGCCATAGTGATGCGCAGAGCTATAACAATTAAACTGATCTATACAAATTACAATTTCACAATATACTACCTGAGTAAAGTGAGAAAAAAATAAAACATTAATGCCTCGTCGCGTGAGCAGTGGTGAGCGGTGTACAATCTGCGGCAATGTGAGCTCACCCAATCCAGTGTTTGCCGAATCAAAGTCCTCTCTGGGGTGCCTCCGGCATAGTAAATTATGAAGCCGACTTCAACATTCCAACAATAGAACGGATGTCAGTTCATCCGAACATGTTTTTAACATCCTAACATAATAGGGACACCCCACATGACCTTTGTTCCTCAACGGACTGAACGACACCGGGCAAGCTGATATTGGAGGACTCTATTCATTGCTCTGAATCATTATCTTGGCACTCAGATAGAAAACTTGAATGAGAACGCACATTGGAAAATAGATGAAAATGCAGAGTGCATACCGTTGCCATAGCAGTGGCGATATATGTCACAAGTTGTTCATCAGTGTCGAAGTTTACGAAAAAATACTTGTCGACGACCACCAGTATTTCAACCAAAAATGGGTCTGGAACTTGTGCTTGTACTTGTCTCGGAGGGCCTGTAAAAGTGTACTTTGAATTGACTGGTACTGAATATTGTGTACACGATTGCCACTCCTAAACCATGCACTGCAGATAGTTAATTTGGGCCAGGCAAGTTCGTTCGAAGTAGTATGTTCATCTGTGGAAATCAAAAACACCGTACAATTTTTTTTTTTATGCTACGCTTGTCGCTGCTACAATTTCTGGAAAAGTAAAATAGGGTAGGTTGCATCACTGTGTTTAGAAAGATCGGTTTATAAACAAAGTGCTCAAAAAGCTGGTAGCAATTTTAGGTACTTATCTTAATATTTCTATCGAGGATATGGATTCTATTATCTGTTACTTGGTAAATATATCCACTGGTTTCGCTGTACTCGTTTGCGAATGCGGAGAAGCATAAAGTTTTGAGACATCTACGTGTGAAGTGTCCCAATATAGGATATGCAATATATCTATGAACTCTTTTTTTTTGTTCTTTTTTAAGACATGTCTATATATTATATTGTCACGGGTGGTGAGTCGTGACCAATAAACAAGAAATAAACAGAAATAAATAAACGTTTAATGTGGCGAACTTGTGCCAAAAATAAAGAAGGAAACAGAAGAAGGCAGAGCGTCGCGGGCGTCGAAGTCGGCGTGTCAGCAGAATCGAGCGCTGGGGCGAGACTGACTGGACAAGGTCGCGGGCGGCCTCTTATCTAGAGTGAGTCAGTATCTCGAAGATTCGGCGGAGAAGGTTCGAGCGTAGCGCGCTCGGGGCGAGAATGAACAAGCACTTTCTAGAACAACAAAAACAGGGATGAACGATAGTTATGTCCGCAGCAAGAGTGAACGAGAACTTTCTACAAGTCCGTGACCCTGCGCGCGGCATTATCCCCCCTTTAAAAAGTGCATCGTCCCGATGCAGCACAAAACGAAAAACAACAAACAAAAACAAATCCAAAACAAAAAGGCAGCAGAATCGCAAGCCGCAGTTCACAGTTCACCCGTCGACGAGAGTGGAAAGTTCTATCGTTCGTAATACGGCTTCAGCCGGACGACGTGCACCACCTCGGGTCGCGGCTGACGTCTTGCAGATGGGCGCGTTCCGTCGGGGAGGACTTCGTAGTTAAGATCACCGAGGCGACGAAGCACTTTGTAGGGTCCAAAGTATCGTTTCATAAATTTCTCACTGAGGCCGCGGCGACGGATGGGCGTCCATACCCACACCCTATCTCCGGGCTGGAAGTGGACGTCCCTGCGACGAAGGTTGTAGCGGCCGGCGTCGACGCGTTGCTGGTCTTGAATCAGGAGTCCGGCGAGCTGGCGAACTTCTTCGGCGCGTTGAGCAACCGCCTGGGCGTCGTCGCTCTCGTTGTCAGATGGCTCATGGGGCAGCCTGGCGTCCAGCATGGTCGTTACCTTCCGACCATGAACCAGCTGGAAAGGGGTGAATCCAGTGGTCTCTTGAACCGCTGTATTGTAGGCGAACGTGACGTAGGGCAGCACCTCGTCCCACGTCTTGTGCTCTACGTCGACGTACATAGAGATCATATCGGCGATTGTCTTGTTGAGTCGCTCCGTCAGCCCGTTGGTCTGCGGGTGGTATGCAGTTGTACGACGATGGCTGGTGTGACTGAGTCGGAGGATTTCTTGGGTCAGTTGTGCCACGAACGATGATCCGCGATCTGTAATCAGAACTTCTGGAGCGCCGTGCCGGAGGACGATGGACTCAATGAAAAACTTGGCAACTTCCACAGCAGTCCCCGAAGGAAGAGCTTTCGTTTCGGCGTACCGCGTGAGATAATCGGTGGCGACGATGATCCAGCGGTTCCCTGACGTCGAAGGCGGAAAAGGACCAAGTAGATCCATTCCGATCTGCTGGAAGGGTGCAGTTGGAGGAGAAATAGGCTGCAGGAGTCCGGCCGGCCTCGTCGGAGGTTTCTTGCGTCGCTGGCACTCGTGGCATGATCGTGTGTACAGGTGGACGGTCTTGGGGAGCTTGGGCCATTAATACTTTTCACGAATACGGGCCAGTGTCCGGCTGTATCCAAGGTGTCCGGACGTCGGGTCGTCGTGACATGCTTGAAAGATCTCCCCTCGAAGGTCGGTCGGTATTACCAGCAGCCACGGCGAGTTGTTGTTCCCGAAGTTCTCTTTGTAGAGTACACCTTGCCGAATGGTGAAGGTCGGCACGGCTCGTGAGAAAACACGGGGTACGGTACCGCCGCGTCCTTCCAGGTGCTCGATTAAGGCTCGCAGCTCCGGATCGTCTCTTTGACGTCGTGCCATGTCATCGGTGTTCACTGCCCCTAGAAAGCACTCGTCATCATCGTCGTCGCTGCTGCCGGAAGGTGTTTCGACAGAGGCCCTGGACAGGCAGTCAGCGTCGCTGTGCTTGTGTCCTGACTTGTAAACCACAGTCATGTTGAACCCTTGTAGCCGGAGGCTCCATCGAGCGAGGCGTCTTGACGGGTCCTTGAGGTTCGCAAGCCAGCAGAGCGAGTGGTGGTCCGTGACTACGCGGAATGGGCTTCCGTACAAGTACGGACGAAACTTCGTGATTGCCCAGACGACCGCAAGGCATTCTTTCTCAGTCGTGGAGTAATTTCTCTCTGCCTTGGACAGTGTCCGACTTGCGTAGGCGATGACTCGTTCGGTGCCTTCTTGTACTTGAACTAGTACCGCGCCAAGTCCTGCGTTACTTGCGTCAGTGTGAATCTCGGTGTCCGCATCCTGATCGAAATGTCCAAGAACCGGAGGCGTCTGGAGTCGTCGCTTCAGCTCGTCGAATGCCTGCTGCTGTTCCTCGGCCCATTCGAACCTCTCGGCGTCCTTCGTGAGGTTTGTGAGCGGTGCGGAAATCCGTGGGAAATCCCGAACGAAGCGACGATAGTAGGCGCAAAGTCCAAGGAATCTTCGCACGGCCTTTTTGTCTGTCGGCACTGGAAATGACGTGACGGCGCGAGTCTTCTCAGGGTCTGGGCGCACGCCTTCGTTGCTAACCACGTGACCTAGAAACTTCAGTTCGTCATAGGCGAACCGACACTTTGACGGCTTGAGGGTGAGTCCAGCGGTCCGTATGGCTTGAAGAACAGCTCGGAGTCGTCGCAAGTGCTCGTCGAAGTCGCTGGAAAACACCACGACGTCATCGAGGTAGACCAGACAGCTCTGCCACTTCAGTCCTGCCAGTACGGTGTCCATAACACGCTGGAAAGTTGCTGGCGCCGTACATAGTCCGAAGGGCATTACCTTGAACTCGTACAGCCCATCCGGCGTGACGAAAGCTGCCTTCTCTCGGTCCCGTTCGTCGACTTCGATCTGCCAGTAGCCGCTCTTCAGGTCCATCGATGAGAAGTATCGAGAGTGGCGCAGCCGGTCTAACGTGTCGTCGATTCGGGGGAGTGGGTAGACGTCTTTCTTCGTCACCGCGTTCAGCTGCCGGTAGTCCACGCAGAACCGAAGCGTTCCGTCCTTCTTCTTAACCAGTACGACTGGAGAGGCCCACGGACTGCTTGATGGCTGGATTATGTCGTCGTTCAGCATCTCTTGAACTTGCTCCTGGATCACCTCCCTTTCTTTAACGGAGACTCTGTACGGTGATCGATGCACAGGGCGCGCGTCGTCCTCGGTAATGATGCGGTGCTTCGCAACGGCTGTTTGGCGTACCTTCGACGACGTCGCAAAGCAGTCACGGTATTCGGCGAGGAGGTTCATCAGCTGCCGTCGTTTTGGGTCCGGAAGCTTAGGGTCGATGTCGAGTTGCGCTGGCGACGTACCGTCTTGCTGAGGTGGCGAGGATTCATCAGTAATGGCGGCGATTTCGGCGGAGTTTCGGAGATCCTCGACGTGGCCAACGGCTGCACCTTTCGTGAGGTGTTGCGTTTCATTCCCGAAGTTCGTCACAAGGACCACAGTGCGGCCATCCTGAAGTTCAGCTACCCCTCGTGCGACGCCTATTCCTCTTCCCAGGAGCAACTGGAGGTTACCTTCCAGAAGAACTTCGCTACGGGTAGCTGCATCGGTCACGACAGGTACGACAACACTTGATCGCGGCGGCAGATTCACGTGGTCGGCAGCGACTCGGACGGCGGCTGACGCAGTTTGGAGTTTCTCTGAAGGCGGAACAGGTGTCCGCAGAGTCAATCTGTTTTCTCCAAGGTCGATGACGGCGCCGTATTCACACAAATAGTCCATGCCGAGAATGACGTCTCTGGAACAGTCTTGTAGAATGACGAATTTCACAGGACACGTCTCGCCGTGAATTTCGACGCGAGCGGTGCACCTTCCGACAGGCGTGATGAGGTGTCCTCCGGCGGTTCGTATCTGCGGTCCATCCCACGGCGTCGTGACTTTTCGAAGGTGGCGAGAGAGCCTCCCACTCAATACTGAGTAGTCTGCCCCGGTGTCAACGAGTGCCGATGCGTTTTGGCCATCGATAACAACGTTTAGGTTGTTGGACACCGTTGCAGGCGCGTCGGTGCAATGCGGGGCGTCGAGAGAGTGGGAGCGCTCCGGCGTTCTTGGAGGCTGTTTGCTTCCGTCGTTTTCGGCAACGTCACCTCCAGGCGTTGCCGCACTCAGTTTTCCCGACGACGCAGGGGAGACAGGCTCTCTCGGCGGGATCGTGGCGCTGGGGAGGCTGAACGTCGTGGCGATGGGGAGCGGGCTTCACGGCGGAGAGACGACACTGGGGAGGGGGAACGTCGGAGGTACTCCTCGATGTCGTGAGGGCGTTCGCCGTACCTCGGGCGTGGGTCGTTCGGGTGGAACCCACGCAGGCCCATTTGCCGGTAGGGACAACGACGGTAGATATGGTCGGCCTCCCCGCAGTGGTAGCACAACGGGCGTCGATCGGCCGTCCTCCACACGTCGGTCTTTCGTGGAGCAGCTTGTTCTGGGCGGACGTACGCCCGATCTTCATGGCGTCGTGAATACTGCGGCGCTAGAGGTTCACGTCGAGGTGGCGCCGTATACGGGTGAGCAGGGGGCGGTGGTCGTCGGGTAGCTGCGGCGTAGCTCAGCTTCGGTGGTTCAGGAGCGGCGCTGGCGAGAACTTCTGGCTGCAGCGCCTGCTGAAGTTCTTCCCGGACAATCTCGGCGACTGAGGGCGTATCCAGGCTTGTGGCAGCAGGTAGCAACTTCTTCAACTCCTCCCGGACGGCTTCACGGATAAGGTCACGGATGTCGGGGAGGGTGGTGCCCAGGTCGGATCCAGATGTCGCTAGAGTAGTTACGCCAGGGTGTCGTTGGTAGTGTCTGGCGCGGGCTAGCAAGGCCCGTTCCATATTTGTCGCCTCCGTGATGAACTCGTCGACTGTTGTTGGGGGATTCCGGATGAGACCGCCGAAAATCTCGCTTTTCACACCCCTCATCAGGTGGTGCAGCTTCTTCTCCTCGGTAGCCTGAGGATCGGCGCGGGCGCTTAGGCGGAGAACATCCTCCACGAAGCCGGTGATGCTCTCGTTGGGGCCTTGAGTCCTGGTACGCAGTAAGTCTTCGGCTCTCTCTTGGCGGTGCTGGTTGACAAATGTCGCCTTCAGCTGGCTCTTGAAAATGTCCCAGGATGTCAATGAAGACTCGTGATTTTCGTACCAGCTTCTGGCAGTCCCCTCGAGCGAGAAATACACGTTTTGCAGCCGTTGCTCGTTGGTCCAGCTATTGTGGCGGGCGACGCGTTCGAATTGGTCGATCCAATCTTCAACGTCTTCGTGGAGTTCGCCGTGGAACGGAGCCGGTGTCCGAGGAGCGACGGGTAGGTAGACGACGGCAGGAGCGGCGGGGGCCTGCGACTGGTTGTCCATCGTCGTCTTCTTCGGCTTGGGTTTATCCAGGAGCAAACCGTACTCCGGATCCTCTCCCTTGGTGCGGCGGCTGGTCCGAGTTTCAGGTTCCGCGCTGAGTGGTCTTCTCAGCGAGCTTGGAGTCGGGCTTGCACTGCGGGTCCTGGGAGGGGAACGCTGCACGGGCATGCGGTACCCAGCACCTCCACCAGAATGTCACGGGCGGTGAGTCGTGACCAATAAACAAGAAATAAACAGAAATAAATAAACGTTTAATGTGGCGAACTTGTGCCAAAAATAAAGAAGGAAACAGAAGAAGGCAGAGCGTCGCGGGCGTCGAAGTCGGCGTGTCAGCAGAATCGAGCGCTGGGGCGAGACTGACTGGACAAGGTCGCGGGCGGCCTCTTATCTAGAGTGAGTCAGTATCTCGAAGATTCGGCGGAGAAGGTTCGAGCGTAGCGCGCTCGGGGCGAGAATGAACAAGCACTTTCTAGAACAATAAAAACAGGGATGAACGATAGTTATGTCCGCAGCAAGAGTGAACGAGAACTTTCTACAAGTCCGTGACCCTGCGCGCGGCAATATTAGTGCAAAATTATTTTTTTAAATGACCCTCCTTCCGACGGAAACTGCATAACGCTATTGACTCTGAAGCAAAATACATTTATATACAACCTTCATTTTGAGGTTGGTAGCATTGTAAGTTCTGTTCACGAAATTAAAAAGAAGCAAGTCTTCGTTTAATATCTAAAACAAGACAGCGGCATATAGATACGTAGGAATATATCAATCTTGAAAATTGCTTTGCACTGTTAAGCTTTTTTAGATAATGATACTATCTAATTTAGCATACCTCAAGCACATTTAGACTCCATTAAGTGTGTAACATTCTAAGTCCTAGACAGTCATTTAATTACTTCGTAAAATTTACTTACGAAGATTAGGTCCATTAGATCGCTCTTCCAGTTGAATCTTCCTAGTTTCTGCAACATGTGGAAAAATTATTGTTTTTTTTAATATGAATCCTAGATGGTTACAATAAATTAATATGGCTGGGCACGTGATAGATTAACCTACCGATTAATGAAGTATTGTTGTAATCGCGAATATTCTTTTTCTTACTGGTTGATCGATTAAATTATGAGAAACATTAAAACTATAAACTGAACGCTTTCACTCTGCAGACGTGGCCGAGTGCACCAGTAGCAAGGCAAACTTTACGTGAAATATTGTTCTAAGGTGAATGGCACGGCCGAGATTGGTAACTTTAATCAAGTGGAGAAGGCTAACGTGACCGAGCCACTTTAACGCCGCGCGAGTGTCCGTTTAGTGCAGCAGGGACTATTGTGAACAACCAAAGGAGCTCGCTATTGCCAGAGAATATCAAACAACCTTTTTGAATCTGCGGCGGAATTAATAATCTGTGAGTATAGTTGCTTTTGACTGTTTCCACCTGCACGTCAAGGTTGATATAAAGTCCAAATCGTACATTGCGCCGTTTATCACATATTCAGGAATGGTTAAGCAAAAATGTATTTTTTTTTATTTTCTTTCGTCAATATTCACGGCAATAAAGAAAACAATTATTCGACTACAAATATGCAAATGAAGCGTGGCGATTATTCTGGTCGAACTTTCAAATGACGCCCGGTCCTATAAATGACTAAATGTCAGATTTGGTATTTGGAGCTTTGTGCTTTCCGTCTCGTTTTCACTAGCTCATGGGTTAAAATGCCAGTAATGAATGAGCTTGCAGGCACACTTTTTTTAGTTTCAATATGTGACAGAGCGTCATTACTCAGGTATTTATCATTCACATGTTTTATCTTATTTTCGATGACACTTATGCGGATAGAGATTATATAAAATATTAGGCATGCATTATTTGGTTTCACAGTCACACATTTTTTTATATTATTGATTTAAGCTGGAGAAACGCAAATGCATTTATGTTGCCAAAAATTGCAGCTTTCCAAAAAGCAAGTTTTTGCACAACAGCTTTGGAAAACGCCTGGTCTAGTGCCTTTTTTGTCAACCCAGGCTTAGTGAGTTAATATGGCGGGGTCGGGGGCATTGTGGAAGTGTATAGACAAAGGACAGGTTGGAATTTATTCTGCATTTTAATCTAAATATTTTGACTGTTCGGTTTTTTGGTTCGACTTTGTTTACCCTTAAGGCTGAGCCACACGTAAGCGACTTAGCGAGCGACGAGACGAGCAACGAGATTCAGCCACGGGACACGGAGATTTTTCATTGTCGCTCGTCGCGGGGCTTGCTCTCTGGATTTCTAGAAAACGTCGCTCATCGCCTTGGTCGCTTGCTCCCGTTGCTTTCATGCGGTTTGCCTTCTCACAAGACTGACCGAGCGACAGCGAAGGGGGTCACCGTCGCTTGCCTCGTCGCTTGCCAAACAGCTTTCATGTGGTTTATACTTTATACACTTCTCAGGTGTACAGTAACGCCAACGATAAGTATGCAAAATGCATATCGAAAAAGTTCTTTTCTCTTGAAATGATCCGATTATTTGTACTGTTCACCTCGCATACCTGCACATTTTTATCTTGTTTTTGAAAACGTTTTCCGCAGTTGAATATGAAGAAGTATGAAAAGTCACTCGTTCCTTCAGGTCCGCCTCAATCAGATGTTCTTGGGCCGCTGCTACTAATCTTATGTATTAGTAACATGGATCAAAAATGTTTAGCGGATATCAAAATTAAAAGTTTTTTCCCCATGGTGCTGCCGGTGGTGTGTTCGAAAGTACCAGAGAAGCATTGGGTGTCCGGAACATTGCTTATATAAACGGCCTCTTTCCTATTTTATTGCCTGGCTCGAAGGTCACGCGACAGCTCGACCTGGCGATAGCTCGGCGCTACGCACCTCGAATTCTTTTTGTTTAGGCATAGTGAGTCCAGTGAATTTTACAGCCTGTGTGACTCTGACACCAAAATGAAAGGGGGGCCAATGGCTCATAGCCTTCAAAAAAAAAAAAAGAAATAGCTCCGAAAACACAAACAAAAACGAGGACAATGTGAACAAACACAAGGCGCCTTGTGTTTGTTGACTTCGTCTTCGCCCTTTTCTGTGTTTTAAGTTATGTTACTTTTTTAAAGACCGTGACGCGTTTGGCTCTACTACAACAGAAAAAAATCTTCAGAGATATAGATATAGATATATGCTCAGAATAAAATAAATGATTGTTTACAGAAGTTGACAAGCTGGTGCGACGAATGGCAAACGGAAATCAACAAAAATAATTGTGTATATGTTAACACAGCTTGAAACAAAGCACTAGCACTGTTAACCTATACTGCTGTGGGAGGCCGTTAAAACATTCACAGGAGTAGAAATACCTATAGTATGAGACGATTCGAGAAGGTAGGGCAAGGAAAAGAAAGCTGGGAGAGGAGGAAATAGACGCAACGCTGAGGAGGGGAGGAGAAAATTCCTTCTCCTCACCAGCGTTGCGTCCGCTTCCTTCTCACCCCCCCTCCCCTTCCCACCCTACGGCCTTAACCTGCAATATACTACAGGTTATTCAAATCTGAGCTGCAATTTGTACATCAGACATTTTTCCAATAAATCGCTAAAACAAAATTTGGACACGTAGACGGAAGTTAGATTTTCCAGACCAGTGCATAAATTAACGCCAACTAAGTAACTGATATTACCAAATATTGAATATAGAAGCCCAGTTTGAGAGCTATTCACAAAACAAGATATTTACGAAATCGAACGCTCACAAAGTTAAGCTCTCCTATTTATCTTTAATCGCTATCGATCCACAGACTTTGTCCCCGTAATAAAGTCCGACGCGAGCTTTCTTTACAGAAGTACCAGTATAATGTTGTGCAGAATAGAGATATATTCCTACAAGGTTATTGCTTTACTGACGTTCAAAAATATGTTGCATATACAAACTTCAACAACCCAACTAAACAAAATATTTTTTTTTCTGCACCGTATCGCTGTAATACTGACTCGGTTAAAATATTCGTTTTAAATGTCGATCAATGGAACTGCCTAACCACGAATGCTGAATGATGTAAATAGTCAAAATATGGGTGTTTTTTTATAACTTTTTTACACTTAGTTGTGATTGTTCTTTCTAAAATGCCGACAAACCTGCTTTAGTCTTACGGCTTGCAGCATGGTAATATATACAAACAAAATAAGTCTCATTAGTACAATCAAGGTTGGCTTCCTGAACTATGACTAGACGTAGTCATTCCTGTACTAGAATAAATTAAATGTCGAATATCTTCGGAAAACATGAGGTCACATATATATGTGTGCGTCCCCTAAGTGTAATTCGTGCAGTCATCCTCCCTCCAAAAAGAGCGGCACGATCATTCTCGAAGAAACTTCCTCAAAGTAGATAAAACTTAATTTATTTAAGCACTTACGAACCTCAAGTTTTGTGCGTCGCCTGTTTGTCTCAAAATCGCCCGTTTGTCACAAACAGGCGATTTTGATTTTCAACAGGTGAAAATAATCGAATGCCATAATTTCTCTCAACGTGCTACAATATTAAGCGAACCAATTATTCGTGTAGCTGAAGCACTCAGCTCTCCTGCGAAAAAGGGAGACTGTTCTTTAGACGTTGCGGTGACATGCGAGACGCATCAGGAGAAAAATAAGCTGATTTCTTATCACACGTTATACCACTGGATAGAAAAATAAAATAATATTATGATATTATTCTTATTTAGGTGTCCAAAAACAACCAAGATGCTATTCACTTTGGCACCATCGTCAACAGGTAATAGAAAAAAAAACATTAAAAAAAGAAGGGACTTTTACCAAGCAACAAATAAAACAAATAAAGAGGCAGATAAGTGCTCATTTCATCTGCTGCGGGACAAAGTTATTGATAACGAAATGTCCAGGGCGGTTAACAGGTGGTTTTATACCTCGGCAGGATCCGAGAAAGCGGTGAAGTTTTACACCACGAGTGAACATAAAAACTAACAAAATGTCGCGTTACACATAAAGGAACATAAAGATTAACCTTCCCCAGAGGCTGCGCACAATAATTGCCCTATTCATAAGTTTATGCAGAAATACAAAGTCACGAACAGTTCTTCAGGGAGCCAAAAGTGGAAGTGAAATTTTTTTAAATATATATTAACAGTTATAAAGCGGCGCTCAATGAATCTATCATATACAATTCGAATAACATTTTTCTGAAGATTTTCTGTGCTCATAGCCTGCGCGTTAGATATCGAGTTTCATGTGACAGACGTAAATTAAAGTAGTGACCTTACTCAATCATTGAAATACACATATAAGAGTGGGGTTTTAGAAATCCTCGTCAATCGAGATACGGTTCATAGCATGTTATAGGCATTGCACGCGATAAAATATATTTGGTTTCTAAAAGTTTAACCACTATCAACACACACGCCAATAACATTTTGTAATTTACACCTGCTCTATTGGTCTTCCCCGTCACGCTTATATGTAAAATAAACAACAGTATGCCGTCGGCGAAAAGGTAACACCTTTGTTGTTTGGGGGTTGAGAGACAGTTGATTTAGCTCACACCACTAGTGAATGAAAGACACCATTTTGTAGTATATTACAGTCTTAAATAGTGCGAAGGCTCATGAATAACGTAATATCAGCAGCAAAAAGTAGCAGTTGATAATTACTTACACGATAGATTATATTACTAAAAAATATCAAAATCAAGAGGGGGCCCATTATTTATCCCTCCGTAACATCCGATGTGGAACGAAATAAGTCGGAAGGACTGTCAGCGACTCCAACAGTGTTCGAAAGTTTAGGACCTAATATCAATTCATGAAAACCTCTTTCGTACACTTTCTAGATATCAAAATATATTGTATATACCTGTCTTCTATTTAAAATAGGCGCACCATAATCTAAAAAAGTACACACTACGTCATCTTGTGTATTCCGATACTCTTTTTGGCTACTCCGAAACAAGCAGAAATTTTATTTTGTCTGGATCAGTCTTGGCCGCCCGAACAAAAAGAGAAAAAAGAAGGGTCAGGAGCGTTTATTTCGCGTTTTACGAACGTCACGTTTGTTACACATTCTAGTGCGAATATCAAAGACTCGTGGACAAACGAAGTTGGAGTACTTCGACCTCTCGGCGCTGCGACCCAGCTTTTCTTTTTTTTTTTTTTTGTATAAATGTTTTTAAGGAATAATTGAATTTCCTGCTCTAACATTATCCTTTAACATTCATGTTCCGAGATGAGCTTTCGAAGCTCTGCGACGTTTCATGAGAATCAAGGTATCCAAACTAGCCTCATATCCCGCATTCAAGTCTTCTATAATAACCGTCCTGCAGCAGAGTTTGATATTGTTGACCCATGTTTTATTGCGTTTAAATCATTATTTACTAGTACCTAATGCACAAGTTGTGCATTAAAATTATTAAATGAATGAATTCAATAGTAATGGTCTCTTTTGCTGACATACATTGAGACCTACCTTTCTTATATACAGGCTGGAGTCCATTCGCGAAACGACTGTACTGAAACGCTTTCATAATTTAGACTTACAATTAAATGCTCGAGACACACGTTGTCATTCAATTGGACGCCCTAAAGAAAACACACCAGTGCAGTGATATATTCTGTAAATCTTGAATATACCTAAAACAGCAAAATGTACATGAAGGGACATTTTCTGCCTGATTTATCTGGTGGTTAGTACGTCAAATATATATTAATTTTAGTGGGTCGACCTACTCTATAATACCGGATTCTAGAATTGTTTATGGACCGCTTAGCAGTGCGAAGAATATTTTTAAACAGTATTGCTATGTTTTTTAGCCAGTTTTGTTGATTGTGTTTTAACTTCCTAAACAATCTGCGTTGCATAACGCAAATGCGTGAACGAGACCTTATAATGGACTTTCGGTACGGTCATAAATATTTAGTAAACTACATATCTAAATTGTTTCCGCTGTGTACCTTAAATAAGTCGTTTAATACTTAACTTCAAGCGTCATGCCAACGTACTAGAGTTTCTGTCCTTAACGACATAAGCGAGTCTTAACAGACTTATAGTTTGTGTATGTAAGCCCTAGACACGCGAAAGGTGAAAAGGTAGTTGCTCGAGAACTCAAAGAAAGATAGTACGGTGGCGTCGCCTTATGGTCCTTCCCTGCTACGGGACATCCAGAACTTGCTCAAAATATCTGTGATCATCTCAGCAATAGTTAAAAAAAAAAAAAAAGATATCGCATGGAGTGTTTCGGAAGTCCAGTTGATGCTAGAAATCATAGGACACTTTTAATCACGATATATTTTAGATTGTTTCTGTCAAGGGTAGACGTAAGGTAAGTACGTTGTAAGTCTTTTAACTACCCCAAGTACTCAAAATACCAGATTAGTGCAGATATGGTAATTTTTTTTATGTACGCATAATTCAGGAGGTGTTTAATTATTTTTGTCACTTGACAGTGACCTAACCGATAAAATGTCAAATTGCAAAAAAAAAAAAAAAACATGTTAAACATATTTATATTTTAACACACGCACCCCACGATATCTGCAGTACATAAAAGAATTGATTGGGCCCATTACCAACGTAGTCATGTCCACGGTGAGTTGGTGCATCCACTTGGAAAACCTTGTGCGCGATAGACCCGTCTTCAGATCGAGCCATAAGGTGAAGAGGAAGTATCCTCAGAGTGTCGCTGATGACACCACTCTGGAAACAAAAAAAAGGCAAATATATAATACGTTTAGTTTTGCTTCATAAAGCGTCTCAAATAATGCAATTTTTAAACAAAAAACAATTGCGTTATGATTGACCAAAATAAATTTAATCATATTTCTTCGAAGGTGGTAACATTTTAGCGATAATCATAAGGGTACCAATACTTGAAAGGATGAAACGTCTAGGAAGGGGACGGAAACAAGATTCTGAAAGATGTCCTGTTTCCGTCCCAGCCCTGATGTTTTATCCTTTCAAGTACTCGTAATTATTCACCAACACGCTCGTTTTCAATCCTTCCTTTGGGTGTTAGGTTTATGCTTGCCCTGCAATTGGCGTTCCAGACGCACTGAAATACCAATTACTCTGCAAGCTTCAGGCGGACTTCTTCAATTATATAGTGAGTTCAAGAATTAAAAAATAAACAAAATATACCTCTCAAGCGAGTTTCATTTATTTTGTTGAAGCAGAAATATCTAAAATAAATTATTAATGGCGAATAATACCCAATGATATCGAAAACAATATTAGGCTTTTTTAATTATGTATTTTCCATTGCTGCAGTCGTTTAAAAGACTCATAAATAGTTAAAAATACAAGATGGTAACTTGCATAACATATGATGTCTATCGTACATAGAAGCACTTAAAAAAAGGCTCACACAAGAGGTGGGCGATAGATCGGTGTTCAAACACGTACTTCCTTCTAAGCGCGCACAGATACATTCGTTAGCAGACTTTTCTCTTGGAGCAACATACGTAGGGTATTCTAGAATTTGAACTAGGCGCTAAAGGAAGAACGCTGCCGGGAAGTACATTTAAACAATCTATGAGCTGAAGAAACCATGGTTACCTTCTATATTTATACAAACATTATTAGCAGTCCTCCCTTACAGGTGATGAACAGTGCACTGAAAAATAGCTTGCCGACTTCCTTTCTGTGGTTAAACTTACAATCCATGAAGCTCTTAGCACAAACCAGCCATCGCCGTCTTTTTTCTACTCTTAGACTTGAAGAACTCGCAATAAAGCTATAGTTCTAGAAAGCAACGGCTATTCCAAACGTTTCATCAATAGGATAAACAAGAAGCTACGCCGCCCCATATGTGCAAGCTCCCGGCTCATTCCAGCAGTGTTTGCCTGTCGTACGTGAGGTACGTCAGAGAGACCATCGGATGTGTCCTTTGTAAACATGGGATCGCGGTGACTCACGAGCCGGTGTCCACCCATCCGTCACCGACTCCATCTCCCCAAAAAGAGACAGGGAAAGGAAATGTCTCGATGCCTCGTCTACCGCATCCCGTACGTGGACTGTCCTGCTATCCTACGTGGAGGAAATCAAATATTTCCCGAAACAGCCAGAAATACGACGTGAAAAAGTCTTCGTTCAAGGTAAGTGCCCTCGCCGAACACGAAGCAAAATGAGGTCGCTGCGAGTCTTTCGACAAAAGCGAAATCCCCTGCATAGCGCGGCACTGACGGAAACGTCTGCACCTGGAATTCTATTCCATCCAGACAACAAAAGAAACCATTAACAGGTCTTCGGGAACTCTCCGAGCCGTGTACGTCTCAGGACTCTGCCACATCATAAAAAAAAAGGACTCAGCCAGCCTACATCAGCAGCACTTTTACTGTCCACCTGACGGTCACCCGTGAACAAGGGACCGAGATGGTCCTAAAACGTCGGAAGTTTTTTTTTTCTTAAAACTGTGCTGAAAATGTTTATTTTTCGTCAACACACTTTGTTACAGCAGCAAAGCTCGGACTAAGAACACATATATAAAGGGCCCGTCTTCCAAGATATCTAGGGAACCACTCCTCCCCATAGGGGCAAACCAGTAGTGCTTCCGTTATCGGGTGGATAACGGAAGCACTACTGGTTCGCCCCTATGGGGAGGAGCGGTTCCCTAGATATCTTGGAAGACGGGCCCTTTCCGACATTTGCAAAGCTGAGATGACGTGCCACGTCACAGCCGCAATTCGGAACTAGCGCGGGCCTTAAATCAGCAACAGTTGTCGTCTACCCAGCTAAGCGAATTCGAAACTAATAGTACAGAGAGAGCTGGTCAGAGATTTCGCTAAATCTAGCGGAAAAAATTGCTCTGGGTTGTCACGTGAACTGGGGGGTCACGTGACCCCCGCCGAGGTCACGTGACCCCACAGAAAAAATTTTAGCGGGGGAATTTAGCGGCGCAATTCTTCCGCTAGATTTAGCGGGCCCCCTAAATCTAGCGGGGAAACTTTTTCGCTAGATTTAGCGGGGAAATTTACCCATAATACACCGCGCGGTTACGCCGACGGCGACGCCGCTCAAGCCGGAAACGGGCGCTTAAGAGCTGCGCTCTAAAAGTCGCATTTCAATATAAAAGTTATCTTACATTTTGATAGCGATAAAAAACACATTCAGGTAATTATACGCGGAATGTAAACAGGCCTAAATTTGACCCTCATGAATTCCATGTAAAAAATTGAATGTGTTATTGGTGGTACGTAAAAGCACTTTTGTCAATATATTTTGCCCTAACTGTTTATTTTAACACAAACATTTAATCAACCTTAAGAAAATAGATAAGGGATACAGACGGCAAATAAAAGAAGTCTTACCAGACGTTAAACATAGCATATATTTTAAACCCAAGTATTTTTAATGACTGTTGTTAATAGATTTCGAGGATATCTAAGCAGTTCTTATGAGTTGTGAATGCGAAAGCATGAATGTCATTCTTCCGCGTCCTTAGCTGGTCTGTGGTATACTGGCTTGGACGGCCAGGTGTCGCTTCTGCCGACGTTGCGGCCACCGGCGACATAGATGCCTCAGGCGTCGCCATGTTCCGCGGCGCCCAGAGAAGCAAAAGCGGCTGCAGCTTCCCCCCACCCCCTCCCCTCCGGCAACACCTGACACGAGCGGCCGAGCGCGCGCTCTCGTGAAGCGGCAGCCAATGGCTACCTGGGAGCCGTTTCGCTCAGCCAATGGGAGAAGGGGCATTTCTTTCATGCTCTTTCGTGGTTACTTACGGCGCCGGCTCCGTTTCATGGGATAGTTAACGCTTTCGCATTAAAAACTAAATTTTAGTTCAATAGGTAAATTTAATTTCAGACTTCGAAGTTTTATTTTGTATTGATAGCACACAAATCTGGTGGTTTCAAAAATCAATCGCTTGCCAGTGTTGAATCGAATGACTGCATGTTACCAAGCTTCCGTACATCCATGATTTCGCTATGTTTAGATTTGGATGTATCCTGAGCACTACCAATTGTCAGTGGTAGAACTTTTCGATGAAAACACAGTTCTCTTTATCCCACACAACCGGTAAGTTGAGAATATATCAGTTTGAGTTTTGAGCAGGGCATGTGAAATATCTTTAGTATTAGATTTGGCCAATTTCATAACGAAGACTGCTTGTTCAAAGTTGTGCACCATTGAAATCACTCTTAGAAGTATCTTACCACTTCCACAGCTCCATTGTCCTCCTTCACCTCAACCGCCGCCATTTTTTCTTTGTCATGGTACAAGTTACGTTCCATATATTTTCCGTTCATCTGAAAAACACCCAACGCGAACTGAATGACATATGAAAAATTTTCGAGGAACGTTATATTGTAAACAATTTAATTTTTATAAAGACCTATTTTTCGCGAATTTCACGAATTGCTTACGATTCGCGAAACATAGGTCCCGCGAAGAATTCCAGTAAAATGTAAACACATTGGAATCTATATTCAGATCCCACCGCGTCGCGAAAATTATAACCCGCGAATTATTTAATTTTGTTCTTTCACCGTGTCACTCTCACGCACTTACTAATTCTACGCCGGAGTGCAAACACTCTCAGGTGTTTCGCGGGCAGAAAAATGAAAAGGACATCTTTTCATCCGTCATTTCGCTGACAAGCGCGCCTACTATCAAACAACGAAGTCGACGGCAGGGATGTTACACTGGCATACTATACTTCGTTTCAGCTTCGGTCCTAGCGCGGCCGATGTTATGAGCCGAAGGGCCAATCAAACACCGCAATAAACGCAGCGTCATGGCGTGCTCTTTGCGCATGATAAGACTAGCCGGCGGAGGAGCGCGCACAGAGAGACGGCAAATATCGGCTGGTCCTATCAACTGCAGAGAGTACACCATGACGTTGTGCCTCTTTCGCTGTTTGATTGGCCCTTCGGCTCATAACATCGGCCGCGCTCGGACCGAAGCTGAAACGAAGTATAGTCGAATATTGTAGAACACCAAACAGTTTTTGGTGGCTCCAAGTATTGTCATTGAAGATTGAACTGTTAGATGAAATGTGGTTTTAAAAAAAGCATAGTTTATGTCACAATGAACAAATTAATATAATATAAAGCAAAATATTTATTCGATCACATTTTGTAACAGTAAATTTTGAAGAAACAAATGTCTCAAAAGTTTGTAAGACAAAAGTGAAGTACACATTACTTCTCGTGATTTCTTTTCTTTTTAAAAAAATCTGAGTTGACACCTAAAATACCAATTTTTATGCCAATAAACGCGAAAGTTTTTTTTATCATTTAATAACATCACGTCAAATAAGAAACACCAATCTATTGTTAAGTATGTGAAGTTTGCCTTCCCTAAAGTTTATCAGCACGTGTCACGGATCGGGAATCGCATAATGGAAGCTGAAGAACGGGGCGTATGTTGATTATGTATTTTCCCGTATGAACGTACCATTGTTTTTAGACAGTCGTCTATTCATACCTGATGTAACGTTTTATAGCGTTTGCATCTTATACTAAAATGAAGCATGTAACTTTTTTTAAGAAAATGACATCCCATTGATACAATGATAAATAATGGGCTCTCCACGCGAACATAAATTACATAACTGCGCTAGCACCTTCCGACAAAAAACGCGTTTGAGGTTATAAAGTAAAATGTATGGTGTAAAATCCAAGCAAAATAATATTTCGAAACCAAGAAAAAAATCCTCTTTATGTATATGGTTGCACATTCCCGCGGACAAGCAAAGAACTTAAGCATTCTCAAGTTGCACAACACGCACCAAGAAACCCACAGAGCGCTGTCGGTCCTCATAGTTCGGCCTAATGTACGCACTTTTAAGATTGCGCGGTTAAAATTTGAACAAAATGCTTTTCGCCAAACGATTTAACGCCTACGAAGTTCCTTCTGATATGCACAGCGGGCCGTAATTCATCTAAAATATGTCATAAGGAAAAAACGGTTAAGTGCAGGTGAGCTGGTGTAAGTTATACATGATGATTGAAACCGTTTTTCAAACAACAGTCTCAGTTTTCAATCATCATGTATGCCATAAGAGGCGTTTTTTTTATCGTGGTATGCGATGCACCGTGAATTATAAATTATTTAGTAAATGCATGAGGGATTTGTCATTTATGATAATGATTTATGAGGGACGTTTTGATGAAAATGCTTTGTTTTGCAAAAACATGCCTATTCTGGAAATTAGCTGGCACCTGTAATCCATGTGAAAGGAATTTTTGACAAGTGCCCCGAGGATTAAACTAAAACTGGAATAATAAACTTAGGGATGGACAGAACAGCACATCTTCCGACTTTCAATACAAATAGCTTTCTGTGTTGGAAGTCGAAAAATGTGCGGTCATGTTCGTCCCTATGTCGATTCTTTCAGTTTTATTTAATTTCACTGACGCGCTCCCGTCAAAATAAATAACCCGAGAACTTACTGCCCGATGTACAAGTCCTTTAAATAAAAAACAATGGTGGTCACTAGATCAGATATTGCCGGATGATCAGTTTCTAACCAAATATAGCATAAGCATATGATATTATATGTTAAGTTTCTGAATTTACTGTAAACTGACAAAAATATACGGCTAGTGTTTCAGTTTACAATCAAGAAATGGGGCTCATTTCTCGTAGGTGATGCCATCTATACCTATGTATTTGCCGGGTCTTTCTGGCCGCTATTGTTTTGCTGCAGAGTTCCGAACATCGCTTCGAACTTTGGAATCAAAGGTCTGTAAGCCTTGAAACTTTTTTCATCTCGACTCGAAATCTGGCGCTACATTTGGACAAAGACCGGGCGCTCATAGTTCCAGTGTTTATTTTTGGAGTGAGAGAGCACGGTTTTCGTTTGCATTGAGAAAACCGGTTTTAGCTTCCTCAGTACGTTTTTGATTTGTGAGTACCTCTAGGAGTCAGTTGGATATGTCGCCTCTGCTTAGTTTCACCTCATTTGTAATACATAATAAATGTGGCCGCGATGTTCTATATTTGAAATAAGTAAGCATTATTGTAGCTAGGTAGTTTTTGCATATTGTTTAAATTCCGAACGCTGTTTGAACTTCCGTGGCAGTTGATAGAGAACACAAATTATACAGTACAGAAATAACTGGCACTACCGATTGTTTACAGCAGAGGTTCTCAAATGGGGGTCTTCGGACCTTTTTGGGGTCCGCGAAGCCCTGCCTCAGCAGTTAAGCTCGGCACTAAAAGTTTTATCTCTTCTGAGATTGAGATGAAACGTTCCAATTTTCGGGTGAGGTTTCTCGTCTGTATGTCAATCAGAAAATTCTACTTCATACTAACCCTTAGTTACATTCATTTAATAAATCATTACCATAATTAACCTATACCTTTCCCTTCCCCTCGCCACGACGGGGTCCTCCATCATCTCCACCGATCCACAAGGGGTCCGCGAAACATCGTTGGTTGGGAACCACTGGATTACAGCAATTAGCTTTACTGGTGGCCTAGAGGGTTTTTGCTGCGAGGACTAACACATTCGACCGGCCTTGCAAAATTCGAATTCCAAACTTACAAACCTAAATTGGGCAAGCGAACGCAGTTTCGGTTGGATATTTACGTTTATTAGTTATGGTCTGAGGTAGTGAAATATTAAAGATAAAACACTCGGAGCCCGTGCATTTTCCTTCTCCCATTCATGCCCATTTGTCATCTGCACACTGGTTTATGAGCTCGCATTCGAATGGCTTGCGAAGCTCGAAAACGCTAAAAACCAGGAGCAGAGCTGGCATTGGAGCAACATAATTGGGGCAATAATAATTTTAACAAAATATATGCGCAACAACCATCTGGGATTATGCTCCTAAACCACTGTGCAGAAGACGAAACTCTAGTGCAGGACATAGTAAATTCACGACCGCCGTCCTTGCTATTTCTTTAATGCTTTAGCACATCTGCTTTCAGCTCTAAAAAAAATACGCATTGCACTTCTTGCGAAACTACGTTCGCGTACCCCAATTCAGGTTTGTATACATTTGGAATTTGAATTTCGCGAGGCGTGCCAAATGTCTATGAGGAAACAGTTTGAAACTGAACACTTAAACACCAAATGTGCTAGTGCTTAATGACGCAATATCTAAAAACAATCTACGGAAAGTACTTGCGTACTTGGGTATCGAAGAATACTTCCGTACGTACTTTTTTAATTAACTGTTTTCTTGGTATTTAAATAAATCTAGTGACACGCGTTCCTTCTAGTTAGACAAACGGTGCCTTAATCAAGATTACGGGTGTCTTGTCAGAGTAACCCTGATTCTGAATCATTCACTGTATGTCAGACATCACAAACTTAGGTGCATCAAGTATTTTTCTCATCGCTTAGAGCTGATGTACACGAACATTAAAGTTAGGTTTACATGGTTTATGACATGCATTCAATGCTGCTCTCTGAAGTAGAGTTCATGAAAAGAATGTGGACACCATTCTTATTAATATTGAGATATTTAACTCTGATAGTGCAGTCCTATGTTTCGAACGTTTATATTTATCTGGTCTTTAAGGACTCTGCAGCCAGGAGATGTCAAAGGTGATGTAAAAATAAATATGATAATATTTGTCCCGATTCTGCGCATTCTGGTGCCAAAACTCAAGAAAGTGCCCAAATTGGACCTCAGCGCCTGGTTATTCAGTCGTTCACCTGTATCTTTCGGCCTCAATCACCGAACGGGGACTAGAGTTAAGCTTCATTACTTGCGGTTTTGTATTCATCTGGCTGATTTGGCCTATGCATGTTACATTATCGCTCCTAAGGCAAACCAGTGAAAAGTCAATTTTTGGCTTTCCTCCGGTCAGTGAGGACCAATGCAAAGTACCTAAGCCCTGTCTGGCCTCTTGGAGCAAAACTCAATTCGGCCCAATTTATGCCCTTTGAAATGCCAAACTTCAGTCAAGCTACCTTTTTCCTTCTGCGCTGTTTGGGGAAGCGGAACAGGATGGAAAAAGGATGTCGTAAAAGGAATTTAGGAGGGAATTTACAACACATATTTTTAGAGCTATATTTACTACTCCCAACGAATATGTCGTAAGTGCCAGCGGGACCCCGCGAAAAAGTGGCCACTATAGTCACGTGACAGGCCGCTATAGTCAGGTGGTGCTTGCGCTCTTTCGAGAGCTTCATATGGGATCTCAAAGTTAATTATTACACTTCGTTTGAAATGCAACAAAAGAACGAATATCAATAAAAAACATTTAGAGATCACAGGAAGCTCCCGAAAGATCGCAAGCACCACGTGATAGGCCTGTGCGTAGGTCAGAAATTGACTGTGGCGGCGCGCCGCAGTGTTTCCTTCCGGCGGCGGCATGGACAGAGGCGTTCAGCCAGCGCTCCACACCTAAAGTGTGGCGGCGACGCCGGGGTTCCGGTGATTTCACCGGCGGCGCTGAACGACTCCGGCGTAAAGCAGGGGACAAACATAAGCGGTGAAAACGGGCACCAGCACCTATGGCAACAGGTGCTGGCGTCTCTACGTCGCTGTAACGTGCGCACCTTGCGGCGCGGTGCCGCTCCGATCTGGTCGGCCGGATTTTAGCGCGCGGTGCGCCTAGCCGCGAGCGCCGGAGAAGCAAATATGGCGACCGTTTGTTTGATCGGTTCGATTGGGGTTTGGTGCTGTGTGCGTCGCAAACGTTCTCGTGAGAACAATCTAGTCGCCTACGAAGTTATTTGCACTCCCAGGGGTGGCACGGAAGGTCTTGTGAAATGACCATCTCAACTAGCAACAGACGAATCTTCCCAAACGACAACGACTGCCGAGAAGCGACGGTATGACTCCGAGTGAGTTTGGTTCGGTGCTGGTGGTTTGAGTTCAAGGTGGGGAATCTGTTTGCCGGCATGGAACTGCCACAGCTGATGGAGGAGTTAGCACAAGGGGTATAGAAAGGATGCCTAAACAATGCACTTTGTACAAGGAAGACCTTTGGCGATGTCAGGTTTGTCGATCCAGCCATTCGATGCCGCCGGGAAACGAAGAAACGTGTTATGTGGTTCAAAAGTTCTCTGCTGCGTGAGTACTTTGGAGTGCGTTGGTAGGTATTTACTCTCATGCATGATGTTTCTATGATGCTCGGGGATAACGCATTCCAACTGTTCATTTGACTGTCACTGTCATAACACCAAATAATTATTGCATTCGGTGTGACTTCCTTGACATAAAGTCAATGAAGCCTCTCCGTGTACTTTCGAACGGAAGCGCCAAGACTCTCATGAAAACTGGTCGTGTCTCATACAAGCGATATGCGCTAGCCTTTCGTGTTCAATCTGGGCCTCTTCGGACCCCTGAATGCCTTCCTAGCGGCGTTCTGGGGTCCGTATACCTTCTGCGGTGTATTTTCTTCAAGACTGACCAGCCCTGCGCCTCCAGTTGTCTCAGCGAAGTTGGACACGTTGCAATCAATTTTGAAATATATGTTTATGCAGTCTACACATTTATCAATTGGAACGATTTTTATTTCTTATTTTTTTATTTGAAGATGATCGGGTAAAAAACAAAAAGCAAACATGACGGTGGCAGTGCTGTAAACATACGTTTAGCGGTAACGTTTCCTTCGACATTATTGCTCTAGGAGTGATATAATGGTAGCACATGAGCGTTCATGCCGTGTTTTTTTTATTTTTAATCTGAATACTTTAATTTACGTTTTGGGCATAAATAATGTGTCAGGGGCGAAGCTCCTTAGGATCTAGCCTTGTCCGTCCGTCCGCATGGCGTCCGTGCTAACATAAAGAGAAAAAAAGAAATGTTTGCGCAGTCGAGAGGATTCGAACCGGTGCGGGGAGACCCCAATGAATTTCTAGTCCATCGCCTTATCCCCTCGGCCACGACTGCGGGATGAGTTGGGGGCTCTGAGATGTGGTAGTAACTCAAGAGCTGGGGAAGTCATGGATGAAATGTTGCATGTAGCCGCTTAACGTCTATACAGGAGAGGGCGCTGCGGTCAAATGCGTACATAATCGCGCTAAACATTGCATGCATTGGCTCAACGTTTGTAGACGAGAGGGGCGCTGCGGCCAAATGCTCAAATGCGTATATAACCACGTTCTATACCACACATCCTCTTTCTGACATGGATCGTTGACTTGAGCGGGGGAGATGCGTTCCCACGACTTCGAGCGGATCCAAGCTGATCCGCTCGAATAACCACTGGCTCTGCATTTCACCGACCATAAAGCCGCAATAATGAAGTCGAAACGCAACCCAGAACTCAGCACTACCTTTTTAGCAATAAAAAAAATCAGCACCATCAGCACTACCTATGAACAATAAAATCAGTATCGTCAGCACCACCAGAGCTTCGCCCCAATCAACATTATTCACCCCGTGGAGATGAGGTCAGTTATTTTTAAGCAACGTACCGCCAGTCGCTCTCCGATCGGTGACAATGGTGGCCCAGCAATTGTGTGCCGATCGCGCGACGGGCTTTTGCGTGCACGTCTCTTGGGGACACATATATCCCCGTCTGTCACCAGGTAGTGAGGCGTGCGTAGCGCCGCGCTACGTCCAGTTTCTCCGCTTATGTGTCCCATGGCAGGAAAAACAGCGATAAAAAGTTAAACAGGCGAAACACCATCTTCCCGCGGGAACCATGGGGTGATGCGGAGCATCGCGGAACGTTATAACGGTGTTATTAACGGTGTTAATAATGTTGTAAGTAACGTTGTTAACTTCCGTGTTATTACGTTGTTAACTTGCGTTGGTTACCATACATCGCGTGAACGTTGTTGGAAACTCAGCAATGCTCCGCGTCACCCCATGGTTCCCCTCGAGAAGATAGTATAATTTTTTTAATTGAGTAGGGGACGAAGGTGAAACGGTTAACGAAGGTCGTTATTGAGCAGCGTCTAGTACTTGAGGTGTGCACTTGAGGTTCGGCGTTCCGTTGATGCCTTGCGATAATACCAAGATCGTAGTGCCGTTTCCTCCGCTAGCAGACAACGCCGGCGATGCGGAGAAAGCGAAACGAGAAGGACTGAAGCGCAAGTACAGCGAAATGCACGAGGCGTTGGCAGCGGTGAACTGAACGCGCGCAACGCGCTACCGCTGCTTATATTCACACTTGAAGGAGAGGAGACTAGAGGAGGAGAGTTGCGCATGCGCGCGCGGTGTGAGTAGAAGCGAACGCACGTGAAGTGCACGCAGCTGGTAGAGAGAGAGAGCGGGGAGAGTAACGCGCAGCTGTTGGAGAGAAGGAAGGAGGAGAGTTGCGCATGCGTAGTCTGAGTGTGGACTACGACGCCGCGGGACATAGACCCGAGCACGAGATGCTCCGCATCTAAAATGGTCGCCGTGCGGCAGCGCACTGCTCTATGCATAGCAACCGGTGCCGGCGTCCCTACGTAACTTTCGCGCGGCGCCGCGACGCTCGGATCTGGTCGATGCAGATAAAGCTCCTCGGTGCGCAAGTGGGGCGCCTAGCGGCGAGGGGTGCGTGGTTCCCTGCGCCCAGTTTCAGCGCTCGTGTGTTCCATGCTTAACTTGAGGCGGCGGTGGCGCAGCGCGGCGGCGCACAGGTCTACCACGTGACTAGTGGCGGCTCCAGCGGGGGCCAACACAAATTCCTTCGCGCTGTAAATATGGCTTCATACATTTTCTTTGTTCGTTGTAAATTAAATGATTACATCCTTTTCCCATGCAGGCTGCTCAAACTTGCTTTCTACTTTGCTTTTTTTTTTCTATGGCAGAGCATAAAATTAAGCATGCGTCTTCTTAAGCGCATTGTGTTACCTCAGCGCTGAGCGTGGAGTGCACCACCTGCAAAATGTAATAATCTTTTTTTTTTCTTTTTTAGACGTGCAGTTACGATTGACGGCTCTATTTTAATTGTAGGGCATGTTTAATAGTAATGCTTACCGGAGTTACAACTGGCTCCTTGCCACTGAGGTCTGTTAGAACCAAGTTTTCCGAGAGAATTGAACTTTTTTCCAAGTGAAGTATTAGGCCTTCTTTAATGTGGATCACTTTTTCGCTCGAGAGGCCTCTGCTTTCAAGAAGCTTTGGATAAGCAACTTCAAAGTTTGGGGATTCACCTGTAAAAACATCAATAAAGCTGAACTTAATAGTGAAATACAAAACCTCGTTACCGCCCTACAGCAATAGTGACATAAATATTCCCAAGAATATATTTAATACAAGGTATTCGGGTAACTTCGGTCTGCCATGATATGTCGCAGGCGACACTTCCGCTACATCAAACGTATTTAAACAAGTATTAACCCTGTCCGAAGTGGTATGTATTTAGAGGGTGTTCTATGTAACTTGCACCAAACGTTACAAGCAAAACAAAACGGAGAGTTCTGCGATAGTGAAATCAACTGTACGGTGTTTGAATACGTTTTGTTAAAGTGCACAATTTTTTTTTGTGCGCCTAGTTTTTTAGTTAATTAAGACTATGTAGTTATTTTCTTAAAATATTCATTTAGGAGCTAAGGTGTGAATTGGAAAGTTGTAGAGCGCACAGAGAAATACCCAATCAAGCTTTTTCTGAGCTGCAATTGCTGCAATCTCGACGCGCACGCGCTTCGCGATTGCCGCGCTTTTAGACGTGCTCCGAGGAAACAAGGACCACCTTATAACTGCTGCTCTATCCGAGACAGGGCTTCGTGTTAGCGTAGGCCCCGATATCGGCGCATTTATTCTGCATAAATAGCGCGCGCTACTTTTCCTTACGATGACTGGCGCATGACAGCCAACGGTGTTCTTCGCTGATCGCAGAAATTCATTGTCATGGGGAGGATCCAAGATCATTGCACAGCCCTAATATTGAATAATTGCTTTAGCCTGCAGACCGCATCATATATATATACCGAGGGGAGATATAGCTTAGTTTCTGGAGGGGGGGAGGGGGGGGAGCTTGGATGTCGTAGTTCAATTTACGTCTTGGACGTCGTGGTTAAGCGCGTGTCTTCGTGCGAGTAATTTATTTTATTTGTGTTGTGTTGCTATCAACTTGTGCCAAGGCGTCCATTTGTTCTCCAACACGCCAATGATGCCTTTTTCGAATGAGCCAAAGGCGAGTATGGTCCTTGCTTTGGGAGCGGAGGGGGCGGTTAGAAAAAGTCTGCCAGGGTGTAGCGAACATGGCATAGTAGACCTCGACCAACCCCTCCACAATCATCAGAAACTACGATAAATTGAATCAGACTGGAAGCTTGAAGAAGAAGCGGCAGAAACCTCGTGCGTTAAGCGAAGTCCTCCGCACAGACATGTTGGCTTACATTGCAGCTCACCCTCACGCTAGCGTGCGTGACGTGAGCACTGAGGCAGTTGTACTAAAACCGTCCGTCTGCAGGATTCTGAAGGAATCTAAGCTTCACCCTCCCACGTTGAGCTGTATCAGAGTTTGCAGGCCAGTGACTTTCAAAGCAGTGTTGACTTCGCTAAACGGATTACGATCAAATTTGAAGGAGAATCATACTTTTTCAACAACGTGCTGTAGACATTTTGAAGCAAACTTTTCGCGAAACAACCAAGTAAACCTCTGCAACGCCCATTACTGGAGCGAGAAAAATCCCCACTGGCTGGCGCAGCCTTGACATCAGTACCAGTTGTCCCTTAACGTCCAGTGTGGGATCACCGACGGCAGCATCGCTTGTCCCGTCTTTTTTTACCTGACATCAACTGGAAACCCCCGTAAGAACGAGACCCTTGCAGGTGCAGTGGATGATTTTCGCTGTAGTCTTCCATTGGCACGGCTTCTACACATGCTGTTTTAGCACGACGGTGCCGCCGCTCACAGCTGTAGCCAGCCTCAAGCCTGGCTCAACGGAGCCTTGCAAGAACAGTGTGTCGGGAAGTACGGGTCTGTGGCATAGCCTGCTACGTCACCGAAGGTGACCCCCCTCGATGTCTTCTTGTGGAGGTACGTGAAAGACCGTGGCCTACAACACCAGGCCCACAACGCCAAGCTCATTGAAGGTAACAATAACGCAAATTTGCCGCGATATTCCTGGGTGTATTATTAGGAGTGCAAGAGCAAACGTGTTCAAAAATATGTGAGTGCTGCATCCGTTCAGGTGGGCATTAATTCAGGCACATTCTGTAGGCAGCCAACAGTGTTTAAAAAAAACTGTTTTGAACCGTTGTCAGATTAACGCTAAAGCTGGAGCCTCCTTCATGACGCGGTCTTGATGCCATTATGACTAAAACTCCGCGTGAGAACGATGTCAACATCAAGGACAGCGATGCTTCTTTGTCTTTTTAGTCAGGCGAGCCTTATATGTCGCATCGTTCAGTCGACCTCCAGAAAGTGTTTGAGCGAAAATACATCGACGACACGACAACGACGAAAACACGCCCAAACTGTATAAAAACTGGGTCGTCAGAGACCGTGCTGTCTTCGGAGGTTCGCTATCACGTTTACGTCGGTGCGTGGGCTTTCGCTTCCGAGTCGTCTTAGAGATAACATAATAAATAGTCCCTGTGACTTTTTCAGGTGAGAAGCGTTGCGCTTCGGCTGAGACGCGTTGCCTCCAGTGAACACGATATCGCGGTTAGAACTCGCGCACGCTCTCTTTCTACCCTTTCCACAATGCTGCAGCAGGTGCTGAAGCATATCTCGGGGCCCACACAAACACGAAGCCCTGTCTTGTCCAGCGTGACAGCGATAAGGTGGGCTCCGTTTTCTTCAGAGCACGTATGAGAGCCCTGCAATAGCGACGCGCGGGCACCTTGGTTTCTTTTTTCTTTTAAATTTCGCGGGCTTTCTTTTTAGGTTAAGAAACACAAGCGCGCAATGTTTATCATTTCGAAACACCCTCATTGAGTGTTCCTCAGTGGGCTCTACAGGTTTCCAAACCACACCTTGGCTCTTAAACGAGTAATTATAAATTAGCTAAATATTACTACTCAACTCAAACACTAGTCGCACTAAAAAAATCGTGGACTTTTTCAAAAAATACAGTTAATTTAACTCTCGCCAAGCGCTCCTTTCTTTTTTTTGGGGGGCAAAGTGTGGTGCAAGTTATCGGGGACACTTTGTATACACTCCGCAATTGAAAAAAAAGGAAGACAAAAACGTTCGTTATCTGAGGTAATACACCGCACTATATAAGTTGCGTCTACAGTCGGTGTGGTTTACACAATCTCTCTTTCCTGTGGAAGTATTTATATAGACGCTTTACAGCAGCTGTGCATGGGCGCCGCCATAACCGACTTTCCGTTTTTCCTTCTACTTTTTGCGTTTGCTTCATTTCATCATTACCACAACAGGGAAGGTTCTTGCCATGACAGTTTCTCCTTTGTTGTTCTCCCAAGCATTGACCTTTGCGGAGGCTCGTCAACGCCCGCTTCAATGACTACACATCTCCGTAAGACAAGAGAAGGTCAGCAATGGCGGCTGTCTTCTGGCACACGTGCAAAGAGTCTACAGCACAACCGGGCAGATGTGTAAACGACCGGCCTCATGAGCACTCTCTTTTTTGACGGGGCGCTGCATCGGGACTTCTCGCTGTACATTGTAATGAATATGGCTGTACTCCGCAGATATAATGTTGAAACGCTGTCCAAATATCACAGAAAGACAGCTAGAGTAGCTTAGGTTGCTTTTTGAACCTGTTTTATGTGGAAGTGTATAATTCTAGTCGTAAGGGTTGTGTCGGTGCTGAATCAATTAACCCTGTTGGTAGTGACTTATCTCTTATTAATCAGACTGACACATTTATGTGACCGTGACTGTAATAAAATACATCCCTGCACAGTTTATTTTTATATTTTTTTTTTTGTGTCAATCTATTTGTTCTTAAAGAGAACGAGTTTCGTTAGTCATGGCTGTATTTGTTTTTCTTCTTCTCGTCCTCGTCTTCATTTTTCCTATGTTTTTATTTCTTCGATCATGCACCGACTCGACCATCTTCGTCCCTTACTTCAGTTCCTTTAAAAAAAAATATTCTCGAGTTAAAGTAAAACACACCGTATATCAGGCGTGGAAAATTCTAATCAGTGAAAGCTTGCAGTTGCAATAGGAGCAGGCAAGAACGCTGCTCGCTTCAGTGATACGGCTTTTCTCCTGGGCCAAAATAATTAAGTGTTGCTTAAACACGACCTCTAACCTTACATAAATAGCAGGCTGGCGTCTTTATTTAGCTAACATAAAATAGTACCCGATGTTTGCAAATTCTCGGATATTGCTACTTTATTTGAGTAGCAGAACCGACTAAAATGATTGAGTAAACTGATTTTTTTTTCGGGAATGATATGCACATGAAAACGAAATCCAAAAAAAAAGTATTAACGAGAGGACCAGGAATCAATGAGAAACCAAAATATAGACTACAGTATTCTGCCGTACTTGGGGTAAGGCTTCGAAACGCACAGAAAGGATTATTTTTAGACAAGTATAGTGTCATAATATGAATAAATTTGAAAGACCCCAGATTCAAGTTCCAGCTAGTTTTATCATAACACCTTGAGCGATAAATATGTCATAAAGATATTTGTAAAGTACACAATTAGCCAGCCATTTCACGATCTTGCTGTGTACTGACCAGGGTTGAGCAGTATCGCGATACAAATGTATCGCGATAGTATTTCAGAAATACATTTCGTATCTGTATTTCTGTATCGCGATACATTTTTTTCGCCAGTATCTGTATTTCTGTATCGAAATACATTTGGAATGTTTCTTTGTATCGCGATACAATCAGGATGAAATGTATTTTGTTACATTTCTTGAGAAACACTCTCCCCCCCCCCCCTCCCCCGAAAGAAAAGAAGAAACAAGTCTGAACTCATTTTTTTTTTTTTTTTACTTGCGAAGGCACCAGAGTCAAGAAGATGCTGGGGCATTGTTACTATGCTGACCAAGGTTCTTTTTGATTCTACAAACTATTTTTCTATGCGTCCTCTCTTCTGAGAAGTGTTGCGTAGTCGGGGACTCGAACCAGGTGGTGTTCCAGGAGTGGAGTCAGAGCATCTTCTGCCGCAGGTCCTTATGTAGGGATTTCCTGAGTCATTGTTTGCTGGCATCCAATGCCCGCTGCTAACCGTCTCTCTCGCCTTAGCGTACGGAAAACACCCATCCGGCAAAGCTGAGTCACATTCCGTTGCAGCACGAGCCTGGCGGTGGTTGACTTGAAATAGTAGGAAGACTCACGCTGTGAAGTTCAACACATATTCGAATGCATCTGCGGCTGCGCCCGTAACATTGCACGGCTCAAGGGTACGTCATCAGCCGACGAGAACGTGACCCGCTGCTCTGGTGATCCGAAACCCAGAAGGTGGCCAGAAGTGGCCTTGCTGTGCCATCCCAGACTACGTACTCCCGCGACTCGTCTTAAAACCGCTGTTTCTCGAACAGCTCCCACCTGTGCCGGCAATATCAGCTCGCAATCCACGAGGTCTCTGCTTAGATAATGCTAGGCAAAACTTGAGGACGGCAATCCGTGCGTCGGTGGCGGAGGATCGGTAGTAAGGACCTTCAGAACAGGGATGCTTCCGTAACGTTTTTCAACCGCAACGGAAGATAAGACATGTATTGCAAGATGCTTCAGGTAGTCCACTATTCTCCAAAATTCCGAATGACACTGCATGCACGATCTTCAACTAGGTAACCTACAACAAAAATACGTATTTCCCTTTCATACAGCAGCGTGGTCAAGTTTCATGTTCAAGGCCACACCTACAGATAAAGAATACTAGTTCATTCCACCATCAATGTTGACAAGATTCCCTCGTCAGACAGGCAGGTTGTCATGGAAGAGACCGCGGTCAGCCCTTGATGGGACTTTTTTTTTTTAGTCCATTGAAGAGTCCTTGTCGTCCGAAACCACTACCTTCAAGGCAAAGTGCCAAGCCTACAGGAGAGTAATTTCGGGATCGAAAACATCCACTTCAAACTTGAAACTTCATCTCAGTTGGCGTCTCGAAAAATTTGGGAAATTTATCTCACTATCAGTATTTCTGTATTTGTATTTCTGCCCTCCATAAAATGTATTCCTGTATTTGTATTTCCCAATACACTTTGCCTCTTTTTAAAATGTATTTCCGATACGTATCACGATACATTTTTACAGATATATCTTAGTATCAGTATTTTAACTGCTATTTTAATGTATCCCAGTATTTGTATTTCCAAATACATTTTTGAGTATTTCTGCACAACCCTGGTACTGACCAGCGGAAAATTCCAGCGCACACTCTCAAGGAAAAAGGGTGTAAAAGTGTATCGTTACACCCTTTCTCCCGTTTAATACACCCCAAAATTTCAATTTGACGTACAACGCCCTGCATTCGAACAGACGGCCCGAAATTTTACGAGGGGTTTGATAGCCCTGTGGTAGAACATTTTAAATATCTAAAGTACGTATGAAGACCACATGAAGAAAACACCGAGTTTTTACAGTAGGGCCAAGAAGACCCCGATGATCTCTTTCGTTTTCACTACCACGCACGTTAGCTATTTTAATAAGCTGTACCGCACGGCTCTCAAGCCCCTCGTAAAATTTGTGGCCGTCTGTTCGACTGTAGGGCGCTGTACGTCGATTTGAAGTTTTGGGGTGTATTATATGGGACAAAGGGTGTAACGATACAACCTTTTACACCCTTTTTTTGAGAGTGCAGGTCCAGTACTACTTACTCAAAGAAACATAAAGTGCACGGTATCTTTACTTAGTTTTACTAAATTTGCAATTTATGATGTTGGTGTTAGAGTTAAGCCTGTCGACTGAATTTTCCGTAATATCACTAAACAGGCTTAGCGTGTAATCAACAACACTTATTTTGTAAAATCTGTATGCGGCAAACATTGTCAAAAAAACTCTATGCCCTTTCAACATTAGTGAAGCGTAACAAAATGTTAGTGTCCTTCCATAAATGAAATAAAAACAGACACTTGGAAAACATTGAGTTTCAAGTGTAGCGAGAGATATTGTGGATGGTGTAATTACTCTAAGAAACAATAGCGTTTCATTATCCGGTTATTGAAAATCGCGCTCACTTAACATTAATGAACTTCGCTAACACCTCCTGGATAGGAAAACCGTAGAGCTGATTTTTCTACGCCACCCACCAAAAGCCGTCGCTGACCAGAGATAGAAGCGATAATTGAACGCGTGTACCAGCTGAACGCCGACGCAGCCTTTCTGCCCAATCTGTTTTGCGCTCGCCATCAGTAAGTGATGAGGAAAAATCAGTGCGACGACCATGTCGTCAGGAGTTGTTGACGTCGTCTCATATTTGCAGCTCGTCTTCATTGATTCGATTATCAAAACTTGCTTTTTCAGGTGTGTCAATACTAGAAAAGTGGTACTTGCATCTTCGAACAGATTTTAAACAGCTTAGGTTTTAATTTAGGCGCTCATTTGTTGAGTACATTCCAACATGCTATCTAGCACGCAAGGGTCAGTTTACAAAGCATCGTGTGAATATGTTTGACTAAGTTACGTCGAGCTAAAGCTGTGCATTGACGAAGATTTGCGGGTTGTATGCTGTGCGACAAGTTACACCTTGGATAGGTTGGCAAGCCTCATAGAAATCACGGTTGTCTCGGTAACACACATTTGTTTCTTCATGTAAATATCCGCATTACTACGACATTGAACCTCAGATTACCGAAAGTGTCATACAGTATTTAAAAACACTCGAAATGCTCTCTGCATAACAAACTTTAGTACACTTTGTCATGGCGTATAATATTTTGTACTCAGTTCCAACAAGCTATTTGAAGCACGAAGGTGGTTCTGTAAAATTGCTTTGACAAATACGGAAGCACGGGTATGCACTACTATATATGATATCTACTAAACTTACAACAGTTCTAAATTAGGTGGTTTGTCAGAAACAAACCAATGAATTGTACTAAAAATTATACATACCTCTCGCAGTGGCATTCTGGATTAAAGCCGACAAAGCGCATAGAAAGACGTACTGCATCATTTTCTTCTCTACAAGGTGTTGGCTGTTTTATCATGAGTTTTTATAGAAAATGAACATCCTGTTTGTTCAATACATTGACCCCTTCAATATTGACATTATTATTTTCTAGTGCTAAAGGGCACCGGAAAATTAAGTAAAAATGCTGAAAGAGCGCATAGAGCATCCTTTAATGGTCAATGGCAGTTGTTGCGTTCTTGAAAGTTTCTTTACAACAGATTTGAATGTAGTTGACGCACTATAAGATATTTGCTTTAGGAGCCTTGATTTTGTAGTATGGTTTCATTTGAAATCGAACATGCGTGTCGAAGTGGGTGTTTTGATTCGCTTAAAAATATATATTTAGCCCCATTTAGCTTATAAACTAAACCATTCCGGTCAGTTTTTTTTTTTTTTTAATTTCTCCACAAATATTTTGGACTAAAGCTAGGTAAAACGCTTCGTTTAGGTTTTTTTTTTTATTCAGTTCTGGCGGTTCTGATAAAAGGGTAAAAGAGAATCACTCGCCGTAACTATTCTTGTTATTATAAGTTGCATGGCCGTTTGACCAAACCGCTTTAACGTATTTCATGCCAAAAATTAAAAAGAAAAAAAACAACAACAACACATTTTTGACCTTTTGCTGCCAAATCTGGAGCCTTGAATCTTCGGATTCATTGTAAATTTTGCTTACACCATATGCCTTTAGGCCTATACATATGCTATCGACAGTTTGCATTTTAGTTAAATTTATTTAAGGGAATAATAGCTATACATTTTTAAATTTTATGAAAAAGTTAATGTAGCCATACTTTGAGCCCACATTATCTAAAAAAAAACTCTTTTGATTCTGTGGGTAATTTTTCTGTGCAGGTAATCGAAATTACCACTTTTTCGTTGTATTTTAGTTCAGGTGCGTAGACACACATTCACCCGAATCGGCTGTGGGATAGTTTCGGAAGTTGGCTTTAGTGCAAGGCTTTTAAACTTAGAGTGCTAAGGGAAGGGGTTCGGAAGTGTTTTAGAGATGAAGGGGCCACAGAGTGAGTGAGCTAAAACATGTATTTGTTTTTATCAAATGATATCCTGCCTTGGCCGAGTTTTTCTTTTTTAAGCTTAAGGAACTACAAGGGTTGATTAGGGTGAGTGGATGAGGAGATGGCTACCATATCTTATGTAATCCATCAATAAAATGAGAAATCTTTGCTTCTGTTGCGACGAGTTCATGGGTTGCAATGCGCCTACTCCTGCGTCCCTAGGTTTTTTTTTACTTTTTTTTGTTTATTTAATTGTGGTGGAGATGGGCCGACGTGCTTCCAACACTAGAGCACGTCTGCCCCTACTCTTGCGCTGTTCTGACGGCACGGGAAAACAATGTTTGTTAATGATGCTGATGCTGATGATGGGGATCGCAGTGATGGTGATGATGATGATGATGGTTATTATTATTATTGTTATTATTATTATTGTTATTACTATTAATTTTGTTATTAGCGTGGCGCCGGAAGATGATCCACTGCTTGTTAAGCCCAATCCGATCAGCCCGAAGACTCGAGTCCCGCGCAAGCCGGAGCGTCCGTGGCGTGCAAGCTGAGCGTTGCCCCCTCACCTTCCCGCCGGAGGGCACTGTTTGTGACCAAGCTGGATCCGGTCACCACTTCTGCAGACGTCGTTGGGCATTTGTGTTCACTCGATGTGGAAAACTTGAAGTGCCACCGACTGAAGACTCGCTACAAAACCTACGCCTCTTTTCACGTCTCTGTAGCTGCCGAACATTCTGGGAAACTCTCTGACCCTGCTTTGTGGCCGGAGGATTGTCTTTTTAAACCTTTCAGAGGCGCTCTTCGTCAAGAACTCCTTCACTCGTCTGAAGAAGCCCACAAGCCCAACACTAAATACAAAGATGAGTAGCGTCGATTTGTTTTACCAGAATGTCCGTGGCCTGTGGAGGAAAGCTGAATGTTTCGTTGCCAACATAACTCTCTCTAATTACTCAATTGCTTGCTTAACGGAAACTTGGTTATGTCCTAGTGTTAGTTCCTCCGACTACTTTCCGCCTTGTTTTGATGTCTACCGTCACGATCGTGATTTCTCTTCCCGGGGCCGAGTAGGAGGCGGTGTATTGGTCGCGGTTAACAAACAATATAGTTCACGAAGACGTGAGGATCTGGAGAGATTTCCCGAGTCTCTGTGGGTGGAAATTGAGTGTTCTAGGAGAGAACGTATTTTAATTGGTCTGTTCTACCTTCCTCCTCAGACGACACCAGATGATTTCCAAATTGTCTCGCTGACATTGAAAGTACAATTAATGATTCACAGGGGAGCAATATCTTGATATTGGGGGATTTTAACGCTCCAGGTATTAACTGGACACAGTTCAATATCCTTACTGGCAACTTTTATTGTAAACAAAAGTGCAACTATCTCCTCAACTTTACTTCCTTTTTAGATCGCAGACAGCACAATAACATTCTAAACGATCAAGGTAATGCTTTAGATTTATGCTTTTCAAACACGGACGGTATACATGTCGCTCGAAGTGAACTTCCTATGATTCCTGAGGATAGCTATCACCCTGCTCTTGATGTAGTTGTTTCTGTTTTTGATCCTCCGGTCCTCAGTCCCTCTAATACTCCTTCCCCACACACATCGTAAAAGTATTCAGCGGGGGACTACACTGGAATGTATCACCATCTTTCGGGTGTTGACTGGGCTTCTATCTTGCAGTCGTCTGATATCAACGACCAAGTATATCTCCTCACAACTGTTGTTCAGGAGGCTATGGACATATATATCCCTCTTAAAACGTCTAAAAAATCTCGCTTCCCTGTCTGGATCTCTCGTGAACTCAGAACGCTTTTAAAACTGACAGTTTTTTTGCACAGGAGGTTTAAGAAAAGTGGTCTTCCAAAGTGGGAAGTTGAATTTAAAATTTGCGGAAAGTGATGTAAGAAAATTTTAAACCGTGATCGCCAGGCGCATTCTTACTTGGTAGAATCAGATCTTGTTAAAAATCCCAAGAAATTTTGGAGGTACGCTAAATCGCGCTTGGGGAAGAATATTGAGTCCGAAATCATCTTGAATCAGCATAGCGGCAGTGCAAAGGGCAAGTCTGAGTTGTTTGCGGATCACTTTGCGTCAGTTTACATTAATAATAATAACTGCCCCTCAACTCTTTTGCCTCACTCGGACGTACTTGGTGACACATTAGGTTCTGTGGTTGTCGATAAGGAATGTGTTAGGCTATGTATTAAGAAAATGAAACCCACATTGTCTGCAGGTCATGACGGGATATCCGCTGCAACTGTTAAGGGTTATCATGAATTACTTACGCCCATACTGTGCACAATTTTCAACAACTCTTTGACGTCAGGGATATTCCCTGACGACTGGAAACTGGCAGTGGTTGTTCCGGTTCTGAAATCTGGAAATAGTGGTGATGTTCTTAATTACAGAACGATTTCTCTTCTCTCGTCTTTTTCCAAACTCTTTGAAATGGTAATCTATCAATTCCTCTCTTGCAATTTTCGTAGTATAGTCATTCCCAATCAGCATGGTTTCATGTCCGGCAGATCGACATCCATCAATCTCGTATCTTTCAAGTTTACTTCCTCTGAAGTAGTTTGTAATAGAGGCCAGCTTGACGTTTTTTATTTCGACCTTAGTACGGCATTCGACGTAGTCAACCACTACATCCACCTATACAAGCTTTCCTCTTACGGAGTATGTGGTTAGGTATACAATTTGTTAAAAAGCTATTTGTCTGATAGGCAAGCCTATGTGTGCGTCAACAATACTACCTCGTCCTTGTTCAAGGCAAGCTCTGGAGTGCCTCAGGGATCTGTCTTGGGCCCCCTTCTTTTTAATATTTTTGTAAATGATGTCTCTCGAGTTATATTAAATTCTTCATTTCTGCAGTACGCTGATGATATAAAACTTTACAAAAAAATATCAACCTTAGAGGATTGCATCGCGCTTTACAATGACGCATATTCCTTTGGTCGTTGGTGTTTAGACAATGACCTCCGTTTGAATAATTCTAAAACAAAAGTAATGACATATTTTTGGCAAGACCCATGATATATTCTTTCCATACAGTTATCATGGCGAACTGCTGTCACGTGTAAGTGGACTGAGAGACCTTGGAGTTGTCTTTGATTCAACCCTGAGATTTGACACTCACGTTATCAGAGTGGTTCAATTGGCCTCGCGCACGTTAGGTGTCGTGTCTCGCATAACGAAGAAATTCAAAAGCCCGTCCGCTTTTTTTACGCTGTATTGTTCCTTATTTAGATCCCAGCTAGAGTACGCCGCGGTTGTTTGGAACGGCATTTCCAAAACTAACAGTTTATCGGTCGAGCGAGTCCAAAAAAAAATAATTTCTATCTTTAAGTATCGTTACCTTGAGAAAGATGATCCTTGTCTGAACGGTGTGTGTAACTCGCAACTTGTCAACTTGTTGAGCCTGCAGCAGCGTCGGGTGAAGGCAGATTTGTTGTTTTTGTTTAAGACCCTGCACGGCTCGATTAAGTCTCCCAGCCTTCTGTCCGAAGTGAGTCTCAGAGTTCCACGTGTGCCTACACGGCTACAATTATCTTTTTATATAGCTCGACATTTTAGCCAATTAAACCCGATCCAAAGATCGGCCGAGTGTCATAATCGCTACTCTGACACAATTGATATTTTTAACTCATGCGGGAGCAAGTTCGGAAATGCTGTTCGAATCTTCCTCTTGCAGGAAAAGGGCTGATCAGTTGAAGCGTTGATGTAGTATTTGCTTTTTGCTCTCACACCTGGTGATGTCTCTTTTTTGTGAACCATAGTTTTGTTTAACCCGAGACTGGGGTATTTCGGAAAAGGGACGAGAAGAAAAGAGGCCACAAGGAGGCGACGTCTCAAACACAGCTAAGGATTTTATTCCATCGTATGCACTTTTATACACACCACGTCCACACACCACCAACCAAGTCGACCAATGACAACATAACACCCGGAATACACTAAGCCAAACATAGGCCCAAAAG